ATCAAATTTAGGAATTTAAAATGAAAGATGAAGCATACATTTAATAATATTAGGGGAGGGGATGCCCTTTAAAGGTGCAAATATTACAATATGCCGATTTAAATATCAAAGCTAATTGAACACTGATGAGAATATTGTTTCAGAATAAATTAACAAAAAAAAAAAAAAAAAAAATTCGGACGAGAAACTTTTTTGACAAGCGTATGAAAGGCTTAATGTCGAGCCCTGCCTATAGCAATGTCATCAGGATACACATACACCGGTAGGCAGTGGCCCACCTTACCGGGTGACCATGTCGTGGTCCACCAGAATTTATAGTTTACCCACCTCTTTTTTTACCAACCTCTGAATAAAACGTACGAGTCCCAGTCACGCCGAACCTCTCTTCTTCCTTCCAAACACTGAAGCTCATTACAATGGCCCTTAAAGAATGTTAAAAAATTGTAAATGGCCCTTGATAGGAAAAAGGTTCCCCACCCCTGGTCTAAGGGGAATTGATTGGATGGTTGTACTTTGCTATTGGTGGATCTCATGTGAGTGACAGGTTGCCCCGCCCTCACGCCAGTAAACACATCATCAGAGAAGAGAAGAAAAGTCGCTACAAGAGGGAGGGGGAAGTTATTTTGAGTAAAAAAGGGCACATGAATTTAAAATGATGCATGAATAAATCACTTAAATGCAAATATTCTATAAAAAAAACTGTCCATGGTGATTTTAAAGTAGTGTGAATCTATTAAACATTATTTAATAGGCCTAAATGCTGATTTTGTGCATTTTTACAGATTTTCAGCATTTCGCCTTTTTAATATGCTGTGACAAGTTACAAAAAACTGATGAATGCGCTAAATTTGGCCATTTTGAGATTTTCAGCATTGACCAGTACATTGCTGAAGTGCTCTACAATCTACCATCAGCCTTCAATAGATAATGTACAATTAGTTTGTTTTTAGTGATTTGCAGTAAATATTATATATATATAAAAAATAAGTAATTTATCAGTATCTGCCATTGAAACGCCAATATTGGCCAGTTAATTTATTATTGCTTTGGAAAAAATGTTTTAAATTGCCAATGAATGATATAATAATAAATAATAATGAACAGAAATGTTTAGGCTATACAAAATTATTAAAATTTTGTATATTTAAAAAAAAAAAATTCCTTAGCTTCCTGTCAATTTACTGTCACCCAAACACCAACATACAACAGATATTTAAACATTACCTACCGTCCCATTACCCTTAATTGACCTTGTTAGAAAAAGTAAGATAAATGTATAAAAGACTGATGGATTTCTTTGTTCTTGTCTGTCCTCCTCCAAGAACAATGACTGCGAGTAGAGTGAAGAACTGCAACAGAAGCCGTCGGCGAGGCACAGCAGAGGCTTCCTGATTTAAGGTAGCAGGTGAAATATGATTACAGCTGATGAGAGCTAAGGGGCGTCAGGAAACCCAAACTCTGCAGTCTCATCAGGACTGCCGGGTGGGGGAGGGGCGACACATCCTCCCTCACTGCAGCACCACAGCCAAAGATGGAGAGATAGACAGCAGGAGAAAGATAAGCGGAACCCAGAGCGAAGGATCGCACTGATTTACGAGACGGCACGGGATGGTGGTTTTACGAGGCCGGTCCAGCTACGAATCTCATCGTAAAACAAAACAATCGGACAGCCATTTATAAAAAAAACAGACAGTCTTGGGTTGGTTGATTGGTGCTTAAAAGACAAAGTATATTAAGAAAAATTAAAACATGACTAATACAAGTTTAATAATAATAATAAAAAAGACAAAATTACATTTTGTTATTTCATTTTTCACAATAAAGTGAGGCCTAGATATAGCAAAGAGATTTATATTATATGATATTATATAATATAATATTATATTATATATAAAATAAGTATTCATATTAAAATTATGGCAAATAACGAGAAGCCAATATTTATTTCATGGTATAGATAATTGATAAATGGTCAGTGTTAAAATACCATTTTGGGGCCGTTTACACAACACCTTTTTAAACTAAAAACAGAAAACCTTTTTTGTTTTTTGGCTTTTTATTTAAACAACAATGCCATTTTGGGGGCCTGAAAATGCAAACTTTTGAAAACGGGTTTCAAAGTGCAAGTTTATGAAAACTATACCGTTATCGTCTCTGTGTAAACTACAAAAACGGTGACATCATGCGCATGCTTATTACGCGTTCAGTCGTAATGTTTCTTTACAAAGTGGCATGAATAATACAGCGTTTTTAGTTGTTTTTGCGGATCCGTGTGAATGGGGATCGTTCTAACAACTTTGCCGTCTGTAAAACGAATAACGCAAAAAGAAAAAAATTTCCGTTTAAGCACATCGTTGTCATGTAAACGCACCCAAAAATTAAAACAACAAAACCTAAAATTAATTTTAAAAATGTTACAAGTGAATTTGGGCATCACCACATAATAATGTACATTAGAAAGTGTTTTGCTAAAGATAATATTTAACAGAGTGCATTAATTAATTGTAGTTATTTAACACATTTATGAGTTACAATTAGACTAGATGATACCATATATATATATACACTCACCTAAAGGATTATTAGGAACACTATACTAATACTCTGTTTGACCCCCTTTCGCCTTCAGAACTGCCTTAATTCTACGTGGCATTGATTCAACAAGGTGCTGAAAGCATTCTTTAGAAATGTTGGCCCATATTGATAGGATAGCATCTTGCAGTTGATGGAGATTTGTGGGATGCACATCCAGCGCACGAAGCTCCCGTTCCACCACATCCCAAAGATGCTCTATTGGGCTATACGAATCGCCATGATTGTGTTGGATATCACACCTGAATGGAAATTATCAGATAGCCAAAGCAAACCTTATCCCAAGCAAACCAAACAACAATTTCATGAGTGCTGTTCTTCTAGGCGTATAAAAGGCCACAGTCCTGCACGTATCGGAAAACACCAGCAGCACAGAGCTATTGTTCTCCCTGACATACAACTGATATTTATACATGGACTGTCAGCGCACAACAAAGGCTCAGGTTTCACGAGGTTGCATGCGGATCCATTGTTCTCTTTTGCAAAGCGAGAGAAAGAGAGATGGAAAAGCAAAACCCAATCAACAGATAGACAAAATGGGACAACAATGACGGATACTGAGGGGTCATTCACAAATACAAAACATTACATTACTGGGAGTTGACATTTATAAGAAAGGTCACAGTGCAGGAGACAAACTAGAAAAAGCTAAAGAGACCAATGAGACACAGCTTTGAGCTTCTTTGCTGCTTTAAAACAACAAAAAAGCAATAATTCTCAAAGAGTAAGGAAAAAAGAAAAAGTGTATCACTAGCATAAGCCACCAAGACTTGGACTTTTAAATGGATAAAGATGAGAAGATTCCTCCAAGGGTGGATAAAATCACCTTGTAAACAAGCAGAAAAATGAACATCCAGTCTTTAATCTGACAAGGAACAAGTCCTTTTCAGCTTAGCATTACCTTCAAGCACGGTTTCCTACCTTTGTGCTTGCCAAAAGAACAGGGTAGCTTGGCAACAGGAACAAAGGCAAAGTCAATGGAGTCCAAAGGGGAAAGATGCCATGGCCCCACTTCAAACTCATCCAGCCAACCTCTTGAGAGAGAAAAGAACACGTTTAGGAGGCAATTGCTGAACCCAAAGCAGGACAAAGACAAACGCATTCATGTTGGTGTCCGATGCTGAGAAACCTTGAGCTGGACCGGACAGGAGGAAGAGAAACTAGCAACAGGTGGTCCAATGAAGCATGTCTTCTGAACACAGACGGCGGCCTACAGACAGACAAACAAATAGATAGCAGACAGATAGATAGACAGATATGGAATTAACTACAGTTAAATAGATTTTATATGTAATATAATTATATATTATTATTCAATCCCATAGAGAACCCTCAACAGAGAAAAAAAAAATAGACAAGCACACATACAAGTACAATAGTTATTTATTAAGATTCTTTTTAAATGTACATTTTTCATGTCTCCAACACAGAGAATGCTGATAAATAAAGCTAGTTATAAAAAGCTTTAAAATCAAAGCACACACACAAAAAAATCCATAATTAATACTTTTACCATTTTTTTTACATTACAGATATTTACAAAATTTGTGGTAGCCTATTTTGCCCCCTTTTTATACAAAATTTGATAAGAAATTACGGTACCTCTTGGTAACCACGGACCTAATGAGGGTAGACGCCATGTTTCATTTTTCGCGAATAAAAACGAGTCTGTGAGGAATACAGTGTTTAATTTCTCAAAACATGATTCCTGTTTTTTTTTTTAAACAACAGGTGTATTTAAATTAATTGTATATTGTCAGCTAAACAATGAACTTATTTTGTGAAAGATGAACATGAAATATATCGTCTACAAGGTCCACTGCGTGAAGCAGACGTTAGTTTGATTTGATTTGCACAAACGAGACAGTTTGGATTGTTCTTTAGGGCGTTTCTCATGGCAACCAATATATCAAACGAGCGAAAACACTTCCGAGTAGCTAGCTATCTAGTAGCCTAATGTGCTAGTAATAATTCATCTTGAATGATACGTTTCCCCAAGGAGGATTTGGCGGTGAAAAGGAACTGACAAATACTGCAGGGCTTAAGGAATATGTAAGGCAAGTTAAAGAATATAATCATCAGCCTCGAGTATCCACACTTGCCAGTATTTCGAAATTATCTGACAAAACAAGGCAAGGCGTCTGATGAGTTCGAAGTGTTGCTTACGCTTCAGGTGGGACAAGAAATGACAGAGAAACATCGCCATAGCGCCCTCTGTTGGTTAAGGCATTTCAATTCTCAGTTTAGCACCATAACAGCATGAAGAATGTCAGCCTCAGCACTACATTTCCTTTGTGGGAATATGCTGACTGATTGTAAAAAATCTCTCGGATGTATGAATTAAATCCCAAGAGGTCACTGGTAACTGATCGATAAATGAATCATTCATCACTCTAATGCATTAGAAAGGCGTGTTAGGTAGAAGTTTAATGGCAAGAAACTAAAAACAGAGCAGAAAGCTTAAATTAACACTTTTATCTGCACAATTTCCCCTTTCTTAAAATATTTCCTTATGTTCAACAGAACGGTTAGCCTGGCCAGCAGGCGAAGGCTTTTTTGACTGGCTAAAATCTAGTGATTAGAGGGTACAAACCAGGCGTTTAATACACAAACACAATGTATATATTCATACTTTTACCACATTGGCCTTTCAAATTCAACATTTCTGGCTTGAAATTGAGCGTTGAACTGCATTTGTGATACCTACTGGCTAATACAACTTTAATTTGTTACCCTACATACTGTAAAAAGCTGATTCCCTCATCTTGTTCAATTCGTGTTTAATAACAGTAAAAGGAAAAAGAAAAATACTGCAGTTGAAAACACCCGCTCTTTTGGTAGCTTACGTGAAAGTTTGGTTGAACAAATTTACATGACATCCATATGGTACAGTAAAAGATTATCAAATAAAACCTCGCAGGTACAAAGGAGGCCGTTTACCAGTTAAGTGGAGCTGATCGATTGTCTCGTTTTAAAGCCAGCCATTTTTTCCCCCACTTGACGTGCTTATAAAGTGCTAAGGATTAAAATTGCATTGAGGTTTACAAGAAAGAAGAAGAAAAAATCGGTGGGGTCCGTGAAGCCTTTAGTCACAACAAAACCGTCTTTTCAGTGAAACACATTTTCATTTTCTCCTTCAGTCATTTAGGGATGGAAACGTGATTAACAAAACCAATAAATTAAAACAAAAACAGCATTTCTTTACGGCAATACGCTCTTTTGCACTTTCATTTCTGGTGTGCTCACTAAAACATTTTCATATGCATCCCTTTTATTCATTAAAGGCATTTTGCGACCTTTTAAAAGAAGTAAAACCTGTATTAATAAGTCCAAGTCTGGTCTAAAAGACTTGTTTCGCCCTGTCTGCTGAAAGTATATATTAGTGATGCACATAGTAACATGACGGGGGTGAAAGAAGGAGGATGGAAACATGTAGAAACTTAAGTCACTGCATTGCAAACTGGCATTTGAGTTCACTCACTTTGATTATTAGTATCTTCATTAGTCAAATGTCCTTCAGAGAGCTTTCAAAGTTGACTTTTACAGTCGATAAAAAGCCAGCTGTCTCCCAGCGTGACGCCACTTGCTGTTAGAAATCTTTTTCATTTTCACAGGAAGTTCCGTGTGTGGAAAAAGTGCCTTATCCGACACGCACTGTTCCCCAAAAAGCGTCCGCTTTCGTTCATAGGTGAATGTGAGGGATGGAAGGCACTGTGCAGTACGCTGGCTGATGAAAATCAGGTCACAGGAAATGATCAGTTTAAACTTCCTGTCCAGGCCTGACACCCATCAAGACCACAGGTATGTGCTTCTAACTCTGGTTTACAAGTCCACAACCAGAGACCGGCAGCCCTGCATAGAGGCATTGTGGGATAGAGGAAGAGAAGATGAAGAGGGGGCCTGAATCAGCAGAAAAAGATCTCTCCGTCCGGGGTCGTGCCTGGAACCACAGTGCTCGGAGAATCTGCAAAGACACAACAACTACTTCACTTTGGACAACATGAAAATCGCATTTGCAACACCTCGAGCTTACGTAATGTGTCAAGAGAAAAGCAATACTCAGTGGTATAATTATAGTGGAGGGTGGGAGTTTATTTTATGGATTGTAAAAAGCTGATATATAAAGGAAAATGTTCAGTCAGCCGGTCATTATTGTGAACGTAACAGATTGTATATTATCCTGTTTAATTCATGAATAATAGTATAATAATAATAATATAGAATAATAAAAACAAACAACCCCTTCCCTACATTTTTTTTATATCAAATTAAACCTAACAAACTCCACACTCAAAGAAAAAATATATAAAATTAATTATATTAAATAACATTAACATAAATAAATGTAAATAATCTTTAAAACATTTAATCGATCTTATATTTCTAGAAAGAAAAATGTATATAAAATTAAATTAAAGATACATTTATTAAACAAAAAAAACCCTAAAAATTATTTAAAAAAAAACTAAATCTTCATACAAACAATGAATAAATGAAGAGTTCAGATGCAAAAGCCTCTAAACGCCACCTCCGTCAAAAATGAGATAATGACATTGAGTGAAAGCTATCTGAACACAGTACACGTTCAACAAATATATTTGCTTCAAATCCTCGAAATCTCAGCCTCAGCCCATTCAGAAATATCAGTTTGTCGGCAAAAGCCTCTAGACGCCACTTCCCTTTGGCAGCAAAAGCCACTACATCCCGAGAACCAATCAGAAGGCGCGAGCCGCGCGAATCAGTACAGGCTGTTTCAATAGAGCGGTGCGCTGAGGAGACGGATTTTTTTAGACGGCTGAGGAGATTGTTTTGTTTTTGGATTCAGATTTTTTACATTTTTAAGATGGAGTACGATGAAATGGAGGAGCCTGTCCTGCTGACATCAAAAGGCAGAAGAGAACGTCGTTTATCTACCTCAAAACTCTTCCCGTTAATTTACAAGGCAAAAGAAAATCGGTAACTTTACAGTGAAAATAGCTTGGTCGCAAGTGTAGCATGCACTCATAACAGTTCTTGGTGCAGTGCTGTAACTTTGAAGGAATTTGATTTATTATACTTGAGATATACATTATAATATTACTTTACATTATTTAAGTCTTATAAGCTTCTTATACAAAATGCACAGATATTGATGTTTAAGAATGTTGCTCTGTTCTACTTGATTATACAAACTAAAACTATTAAACTATTTTAATCGCCAATTCTTTTTGCCAATGTGGTTGTACTGTGTGAATCGGGGGGGCTTTTGTCTTTATTCAGACAGGGCAGAAAGGTGACTGCAGAGAAATGGGGTGGGATTTGCAAATAATCGCAGATCTCATTCAGCCCCCCTGTAAAGAGGTGTGTCTACTGTTTAGTTTTGAAATGAATGTGCTCTAATCTTTTTCAGTGTTTCTAGTTACATTTTTATTGATTTTTCAGCTATTTACTATGTCTTGTCCCAAAGAGGTGGATTTAGAGGTTTTTGCGAAAAAAGCACAAGTGGATTTAGCTGTTTTTGACGCAAAAGAAAATCGAATTTGTTAAAAATCACTGAATTGACTCAAGTGACATTTTTGAAAAAAAGTTATTTTATTTAATGACTAATAACCTTATCAGTACCTTTAAAATGAAACTACTGGACGTGAACATAGGAGCCTGATAAAAAATGCTCATTTAAAGAAAATAAGTCTGACGGATTTAGAGGGTTTTGCATCTGAACTCTTCAAATAAACAAAATATTTGATAAAAATGATTGAAACTATTTTCAAATGTGAGAAGACGCCACAGACATGCAACAAGACATGCAGAAATGGGTAACATTGACTTCCATAGTATTTTTTCCTACAATGGAATTCCATCACCTGTCTGGTAACCAACATTCTTCAAAATATCTTCTTTAGTGTTCAACAGAACAAAGAAACTCATACACGTTTGGAACAACATGAGGGTGAGTAAATGATGGATGAAGTATCCCTTTAATGTAGAAAGTTAAAGATGTCTGTTCGTGTGACTCTACCTGCAGTCTGGCTCTGCTGCCCTTTTCCCTTCTTCTTTTTCTTGTCCTTCTTCTCCTTGGACTTGGCCAGCTGTAGCAAGCGGCTGGGGATCTGGCTCTGCGCCTCGCTGTTCTGGCCTTTCTGGCTTGAATTGGAAGAGAATGGATTGAGGTTCTTCCCTTTGCGTTTGGAGTCCATGCGGGACAGGAAGTCTCTGGCAGACGGGGAGGAGGAGAGCTCCACCTCTGAGGGGTCGCGGTCCAGTGAACCAGTGCTCTGGAACTTTGAGGAGTCCTCGGACTCGGTGGAGTGGGTCCGGTTCTTCCTCAGTGCCTGCAGATGATGATGCAGAACAGTAACAGGAAATTATTGTTTAAACCAGAACAAACGGAAGACACACTACCTCTTTTTAGCCAAAGCGGAAGAAAAGTTACTCTGACTGATATTAGGTTTAAAATCATTTTGAGGTTTTAGGAAAAAGGAACTATATGTAAGATGAAGATCAAGCTCAAAACAAGATGGTACAATTACATAATCGAATGTGCAGGCCTTTTGTTTTCAAATAATCACAGAACAGTTGTGTAATTTTGGGGCAGAATGGAAAAGATTAGTGATTTTGTCAACGAATCAATGTTACATAGTGAAAGTGTACTGTGCCATCACAGAATAGGGACTTATAAATGCATCTTCAACAGATTATATAGAAACCTGAAACGCTGATGAATCCTTATAATTATATATAATGATTGGGGACTGAAGCTTTGAAGCTTCAAAAAGTATCATAAAACATCTGACGCAAAGGAATGATTCAAACATGAATATGAATCATTCAGATATCACTCCTCTCATGAACTGTCGTAAACATTCTAAAGTAAGATATAGGGCAGATTTTAAGCAAATAATGACTCTTAAAAAGCTATTGTATGACTTCAGAAGACTTGGAATATACAGCGTTCAAAAGTCAGTGATATTTAAAAAAAAAAAAAAAATTTAAAAGGAATAATACTTTTATTCCGCAAGGATGCATTAAATGGATCAAAAGTGACAGTGAAGACATTTGTTATGTTACAAAAGATTTCGGTTTCAAACAAAGGCTGTTCTTTTGAACTTTCTATTCATATGCTATTCAACTGTTTTCAGCATTGATAATAATGAGAAATTATATAAGAATGATTTCTGAAGGATCATGTGACAGAGTAATGATGCTGAAAATTCAGTTTTGCATCACGGGAATAAATTAAATTTTAAAACATTCAAATATAAAACAGTTATTTTGTACACAATTTTACATAAAGACTATCATATGAACAGTAGTGTAGTGCACATCATATGAGCAACTTTATGAGGCCCCAGTTCTCATTCATTATAATTATATTGACCAGGATATTATGAACGACATGAGGGTGAGTAAATACTCACCTCTGTCTGTCTGATCTGCTCGACCTCTCTCTGCACTTGCTCTCGTTCTCTCTCCAGTTTCTTCTGGCTGTCTCTGAGTCGGGCCAGGTCTCTCTGATACTCCTCTTTTTTACCCTGCAGGTCTTGCTTCTCCTCATCCAGCTGTTTGGACCTCCTCTGCCCCTCTTCCTCTTGGCTCTGCAGCTGCGCCTCCCTCTGGGTCAGTTCCCGCTCACGCGCTTCCCACTCCTTTTCCCTGCGCTTCCTCTCCTCCGCGTGGGCAGCCTGTTGCTTCTGGAGGCTGGCGACCTCCTGCCGCTGCTTCTCCAGGCTCCGCTGTTTCTCCTGCTCGATCAGAGAGCTGGGCCGTGACGAGGAGGAGGAAGAGGAGGAGGTAGAGGAGGAGACGGATGGGTGACGTGAAGAGGGCTGGGGGCGTTCGTTTAGGCTGTGCCGTTGGTCCTCGATGAAGGTGTCTTGCTGGACGACAACCGCCTATGTTGGAGGTGAGAAAAGCAAGCAGTTTTAATTTGCATGCAAAGAGTTAAAAAGTGTTTTAAATCACACTTCAAGAGCTTCAAATGAGAATATTAAAGGGATAGTTCACCCAAAATTGAAAATTACCCCATGATTTGCTCACCCTCAAGCCATCCTAGGTGTATATGACATTCTTCTTTCAGACGAATACAATCAGAGTTATATTTAAAAAAATGTACTGGCTCTTCTAAGCTTGATAATGGCAGTGGATTGCAACCAACAGATTGAAGCTTAAAAACGTGCATCCATCCATCGTAAATGAAGTCCAAACAAACAAACAAATGTTCGTTTGGCCGGAAGCTATTTATTTGACTTTATAAAGTTTTAAATATGAATATTTAGCTTACACAAACTCTCATCGCTTCAGAAGGCCTTTATTAACCCACAGGAGCCGTTTGGAGTTTGTTTATGATGGATGGATGCACGTTTTTGAGCTTCAATCTGTTGGTTGTAATCAGATAAAACTGCCATTATAAAACTTGGAAGAGCCGGGACATTTTTTTTATATAACTGATTGTATTCGTCTGAAAGAAGAATGTCATATACACTTATTATGGCTTGAGGGTGAGTAAATCATGGGCTAATTTTCATTTTAAAGTGGACTACTCCAATGTGCGAAACCCAAATTCAGATGAAATAGGCCCCATATCTAGTGCCCACAAAGCACCTGTCCCGGGAAAAGGTTGATAATCACCCACTTAAGGTCAACTGTGGGTCAAATCTATCAGAGTGCTTCTTAATACATAATAATGCACTCTGCTTGATTACAAGCCCGCTACATAAACCCCTGCATTTGTACATTTCGTTTCCTTCTGTCATGCTGGAGATGAGAGCTGCTGGCCTGAACAGAGCAGAGCGAGAAATAACAAGACAAAAAAAGAGAATGAGTCACCTGTAATGTGCTCAGCAGGTCATGAAGATGAGCGACGCTCTGAAGAACCTGCTGTGGGAGGATAAAAGGATTGAGAAAAACGAAAGCGGTCACATCTATTTAAACTGAGATGCAGACAGTTAGTCTACTTTTATGTTCCTGTATATATGAACCATTTTAAAAATCATTTAGATATTTAAATCTATTATAATAGTATACAATGTGTCCTGAGCGGTTTTAGAACAGAAAAGCTTACCTCGTTGTTCCTCTTGAGGAGGAGCAGGGGGTTGGTGTTGCTTGCCTGTGGGAGAGAGAGGCAGTCACAGGGTCAGGACGATACTGTACATAAATTAATAATCAGCAATCCATGTGCTCATGGACACAGATATAAGAGTATGTGATGACGGGTCACATTAATCTGCTGCTGTAGGACAGATGACAGTCTTCGTGTGTCCTCGTTATCAAGTTACTACAGAGTTATGTTCTACGATGAGTGTGTATGTGTAAACCTACTGTTCATCTTAGGTAATGAACATATATTCTGATGCTCAGCACTTAATGGCTTGAGCATATGGTGATGCACTGATGACTAAACATCAATCAGGTTGTTAATGCGAATGCATCTTAGGACAGCACTTGAAATAAGAGCTTTTTAAATAATGTACTTATAAAATGTGTATGTATTATATAACATTTTATTCATTATTATTATTTATATTTATAAATAATTATATTTAATCTATTTAACATCGATTCTAAAAACTTTATTTGATTAATTTGACCAATTATGTCATCCGCATTTTGTTTAGTGGACTAGAAATAATGTAGAATATTACATATATTTCTTAATCATTGGACATCTTAACATTTCATATTTTTTAAGTATTTTGAAGTACTAATGTGGACTAACTTTATGTATAGAATATACATTTTTAAAGTAAATATATATATATGCTATATATGCAAAAGAAAAATCAATTAATTTAATTAATATTACAAAACATTTATTGAAAATTCATAATTTCTTTCATTGTCCAGCTAATTTTCAACACTTCAAATACTTATAAGTATATAGGCTCTGTTACGTTCGTAGAGATTTCCTTTTTTGTTTTGCTTGCGTGCTCTCTCTCTCTCTCTCTCTCTCTCTCTCTCTCTCTCTCTCTCTCTCTCTCTCTCTCTCTCTCTCTCTCTCTCTCTCTCTCTCTCTCTCTCTCTCTCTCTCTCTCTCTCTCTCTCTCTCTCTCTCTCTCTCTCTCTCTCTCTCTCTCTCTCTCTCTCTCTCTCTCTCTCTCTCTCTCTCTCTCTCTCTCTATCAGTTTCTTAGGTCATCCTTCTCCGCTTGCTGATTGGTCCAGGAAGCTGTCAATCATCGTCAAGGGATGTGACGTGGACCTATCCGCTGTCTGAGACGTCCTCACTACCAGTTTAAAAAGACGCTGGAAACAGACTGACGACAGTCCCGTTTTGGTTTCCGGTTCTTTTGGTGCCATTGTGATTTGTTTTAGTTTTCGTTTGGGACTCGTTTGCTTTGTTAATTTGTTTACGTTAGTTGTGTTTCTTAAGTTTGTTTTGTTACTTCGTTTGATTACTTTGGGATGACGTTTTGATTTCGACTTGTGTAGAGCTGGTGCTCTTTTGTTACCCGTTGCTCCAAGGACTGGGGGTTAGGTAAGATGTCGTACGACTTCCATTGTACAAACATGTAGACTAACCTTTGTATAGAAACATCAGGTAAGAGGTGAACGCCACCTTTTGTATGTTTTGTTATTGTGAGCTAGAGTAGGGAAGAACACGGCGCTCGGCGCCGAAGAAACAATTATTTTCTTTCCTTTTCTTTAGCTAGGTAAGAGGGTTGAATTTAGTTAGAATTGTTTTCTTTTTGTTTCTTTCTTTATTTTGGCGTCACCATAGTCCCCTTTTCCTTAAGGGTAACTTGTTGCTTATTTTCTTTGATTTTATTTATTATTTATTCTTGTTGTTTTTTGTTTATATAATTGTTTACATTGTAGGGAGTTGTTGGCTTCCTTATTGTTCTTATTTTACTTTATGATTCATTCGCTGGTCATTATATTTTTCTTTTTGTATAATAAATATCATTATTTTCATTGGCAGTTTGGTTTCGCTCATCGTTTCTTGACACACACTATCATTTCCACGGTTTTGCAAAGTTTTCTTTAATGTTACTCCTCTTGCCCTTAGATTAGATTGGAGGAGTCGTAACAGGCTCTAAACATCTAATAATTATATATATATATATATATAGAGAGAGAGAGAGAGAGAGAGAGAGAGAATTATTAGATTTTTCATCTATCTATATATATATATATATTTCAAATACATTTCCTATATTTCCTGTATATATTTAATTAATATTACAAAAAGTGTAATTAAAATTCATAATTTCTTTTATTGTCCAGCTTATTTTTAAACAATTTTGTTTTCACTTCAAATTCTTGTTTTTTTCTTTTTTCATGTTACAATCCTGCTCTGAATTTTTACTTTCTATAAGAATTTCTATAAGGTTGCCTGGCTTGACCCTGGTTGTACCTTCTTTAGAACGCTGTCTGACTCAGTCCTGCGGAGCTCTGCGGAGTCTTCGGTCTCCTCTCTGTCTCCATCTGTAGGAGATCAAACACATAGACAATCAGTCTTTCCTGGAACATCACAAAACGCTCTCACACACACTCCCACGTGGAAAACACACCCACCTTTACTCTTTGAGATGTTCATCTGGTGGCTATCAAAACCTCCAAAGGTTTCCGCCCGTCGTGGCAAAGTCACGGGCCCAGCTGCACATACGCCCTCCTGCACCGCCCCTCCAAGACTGTCGTTCACCAGAACCTGTAATGTCTCGACTGCACAAAGAAGATTTCGGGGTTTTGTGAACAACATGAAGCTTCTAGAAAAATCAAACACAAACTCACAGCTCTCAAAAAAGCTGAGAGGATACAGTAATCAATACTCTTTCCAGTTCTTGACCTGAAAAATTAAAGCAATCCATTATCTGTTCCTGCCCTGCAGAATCAGATCAGCCTTACGTATCGATTCCGGCAATGGCCACATTCTCTTAATGAACTCCTACTATCTGTATGAACTGAGACAAGCACGATCTATCATTCCCACATTCAAAGCCAATGTGTCTTCTCAGCACTTTGAACATATCAGTGCACTCTAAAATGGAGTTCAGGAACATCATTTATTTAGTTTTCATTGTTGCTTTGTTTGTTTGTGTAAAGGAATGTTCCGGATTCAGTACGAGATAATATCATCAATGTCGATTACCACTGAAAATAATGTGTCCCTCAGTATTGAACTAAATCAATCAGAATGCAGTAAGGCACTTTCAATGGAAGTAAATTTTAGACTGCATATTTGAAGCATATTTATATTTATGCATTTTTTTTTTTAAAGCATACCATGAATTCTTCCTTTAAGAATGTAAGGGCCTGTTTACACCTGGTCACTTTGTGCATTTTCTCTGATTGGATAGCTATCTGATTGTGAAAAAAACAGGTGTAAATGCCCTCTGAAATACTTTCAGGACAGATTTAAATCCGATCACTCAAACCACTTCAAGAAGATGGTTTGAGACGCACGCATTCCAAACGAAACTGGACAAGTGTAAATGCATCTGGTTGTTGAAGCCATATGTACATTTTACTCCTCACAAAATAGTAAAAAATAAACGTGTGAGCGTGTTATAGGCTATATGAGCGCTACTGGCGTCACATCCTGAAGCTCAAAACACGGTAATCTTCATTTAAAAAGGTGAGACTAAATGATCATACCAGTGCTGATGCTGATTACCAAATCAGATAGCTATCCGATCAGTAAAAGAGCATTAGTGACCAGGTATAAACAGGCCCTAATTTGTGTTTAACAGCAATTTTTATTTTCATACAAGTTTCCCCAATCACTTCCACTACTGCTACAGGTCAGCACAAAGCCCCGCCCCCAAACTCACACCATTGGCTGCACCACCGTTGCTATGCTAGGCTGGTCGGAATGTGCAAACAAAACAGCAATGTTTTAATAGCACCACAGAGCCATAGAACTCTGGGAAATAAACTTAGAAATGGCTAACTTAAATCATGGTCTCTGAACATTAATTTAAAATAAAAAAATAAAAATTAATATTGAGAAACAATTTGCTACATTTATATAGTGATTTTCCTCACAAACAGTTTTCTCAACCACTACCAATGTGCTGCATTCATCTGTATTATAACATCGGGGAAAAAACATATTTTTTTATAATAAACCACTATATGTTTGCAATAATTGATTGTGTTTTATTATTTTCATGAATCCTTTAAAAAGTCTAAGGCCATAGTGAAAATGCTTATATTTTTATTTCTAGTAATTTGACCAATTGGTATTAATTTGCTTATTTGTATTTAAAAGTAAAAAATACACTTCATCTTTGCTAAAAATATTATATATATATATATATTTTTTTTTTTTTGAGCTGTAGATAATAAATAATTTAAGCAAGTTTTAGTTTTATTAAAAACTAGTACCTGCTACAAGCACAGGCAGAACTGAAGTTACCCTGAGACTGACACTCACAAATTGAATGTGATTTGAATTAAGAAAGCTTGTGTAACTGGCCAGGGAACATACGCACGGGCTCTACTATGAGCTGATGTAACATGTTGCTAACACCCTCGAGTTCAGTGAGTCATTTAAAAAATCAAATTATGTTCTACATTTCAGCCCTCTAAGATTGCAATATTCATAAAAACATATTCCCAATGTATCCACAGTTTACTAGCTGCCATATGTTTGTAAGACGACCACAGTGTTTTTTTCCGACTTATATAATAAGCATTATATAACTGTACTAGTTGTCTCACCTTCCTTCAGAGCCTCGTTCATGATTGGTTCCCCTTTGGTGATGTCATCGGGCGTGGCCCTGAAGAGCATTCTGTTGTGGAGGCCGGTCTCGTCGGGTACGTCACACATGTCCCTGAACAACTTCACTTTCTCCTCCAGTAAATTCAAGATTTGCTCATCCTTCTTGTGCAGCTGATCTGTAAAGACAGTTGTTCATTTTAGGATGAGCAACCTAAGATTCACTTCATCATTCATTTTGGGAGCAAATAGCAGTTTGCACACCTCTGAACCATTGAATGTTCATTATGAGTTTTTCAGTCATTCTATTTAACACAATTGTTGTAAAATTGTAAACATAGCACTCATAAAGAGCAATTTCTTGTCAATGAAATATACATGGAATACTGTATTAATTATAAATTTCCATTAATTTAAGTAATTTCATTAAGATTTCTAGAAAGATCTGGAAATATCAGGTCATTTTTATGTTCCTAATAAAACTTTTTCTCTAAACCCAAACTCTAAAGCCATATCTTAAAAAAAAAAAAAAAAAAAAAAAAAAATGGAATTCTGGATGGAATTCTGTACCTCTCAACTCCTTGACTTTGATTTCGTGAAGTCTTCTGTCCTCTTCGTTTTCACTAGGCACACCTTCATCATCATCTCGCTCCCTGGAGGAAATTGAGAGTCTGTAAAGAAAGACTACCAGCTCTCACAAATTGTGATGTTTAAAGTGTCTTTTGTCACAATTATTTTGTTTTTAATTAGTTTTTACTTATTTACATTATTTTATCCAAATAAATTAAACATAAAACCCCAAAACAGTGCATTACAACATTATTATGTATATTATGAAAAATATGCATTTTAAAATGATAAAGATGACATTTTACAGTGCTATTAAATTATTCGTTTTTAAAATGTTAACTTTAGTGAGCCTTTGATAATGGCAAAGGTTAAAAAGTACATATATTTATTTATTTGTTTATATTTTGTTTGTTTGTTTATAAAAAATATATATATATAAAATATTGGTGTATATATTCAAAGACTCACATTGACTGCATGGCCTCTTGAATGAGCTGCATCCACGTGTTCCTCTCCTCTTTGGAGCTTGCATACACCTCTACCATCTCAGGCTTCTCAATGCCGGCCGTGATGAGGAACAGACCTTTCTCCTCATTGGCTACTTCCCTCAAGATAAGTTTCTGCAGAGAGATGACGGTGGAGCGCTGGTCCTGAGAGTGGAGAACAAGATGAGATGAGAGTAGAAAATCATAGTGAGGTCATAGGCCACAATAAGAAAGTGCCAAAGAACTTGATATGACAATGTTCCAATTAAAACCAGCACTGACAGAGCAGCAGAGACATTAAACAATACTAGATTGTTTAGATCAGCATCCAAACAACAAAGTGTAAAGTAAATATGGTAACACTTTACAATAAGGCTCATTAGTTAACATTAGTTAAATACCTTAGTTAACATGAACTAAGAATGAACACTTATACAGCATTTATTAATCTTAGTTCATATTAATTTCAAAATTTACTAATATGTTATTAAAATCAAAGGTCGTATTAGTTAACATTAGTGAACGCACTGTGAACTAACATGAATAGCTGGATTTGAATTAACTAACATTAACAAAGATTAATAAATACTGTGACAAATGTATTGTTCATGTTAGTTATTATTACATTAACTAATGAACCTTATTGTAAAGTGTTACCGTAAATATGTATTACTGATGAACACTGTTCTGGGAGTCACAAGAAGAAGTCATAAAGATAAACATACCAAAGAGGCGAATATGTACTTCTGATCTTTCTCCTGCAGGAACACAATCACATCCTTCAGCAGCAGAGCCTGGACATCTGGAGAACAACACATCAGATTAAAAAACAGGCCATGTTTGTGTTAGTGTGGGTGTGTGTTTCTGTGGTGATAGACATGACTGCGTTCTGTCAGTGAAATGTCAAGGTTTTTTAATCCATTTTCTGTATTTTGAACTGAATAAGTCTAGTAAATGTGAATAAAATGTGAATCCAAATCTAGCCACCACAAATTTAGGTGGTTGTGGGTGGTTTCCAGGGCGTTTTTATAAAGATGCTAAGGTGTTCTGAATGGTTTTAAGCTTGTTGTTTCTGTTCTGCTGTTGCTAAAGTGTTGTGGATAGTTTCTAGGGTGTTGCCATATGGTTGCTATGGTATTGAGAGTTAGTGCTAGGGTGTTATGTAGTTGTGCATGGGTATTTTTTAGCATGTAGCTGTTTGTTACATGGTTGCCAAGGTGGTGTGATTGGTTTCCAGGGCATTGCTAGGCGGTTTCTAAGGTGTTCTGAGTTTGTATTTAGTGTGTTGTTATTGTTATGTGACTGCTAAAGTCTCGAAGGTGGTTGCCAGGTGGTTGTTAATCATATGCTAAGGTGTATAGCTTGTTTTTTTCCTGCGTTTGCTGTTACCAGGGTGTTGCCATGTGGTTTTTAACATGTTGCTGTTGTTATGTGGTTGTCATGGTGTTGCGAGTGGTTGCCAGTGCATTGCTATGTGGTTGCCAAGGTGTTCTGAGAGTATTTTTAGCATGTTGTTGTTGTACGTAATTGCTGGGGCATTGTAGGTGGTTGCCAGGGTGTTGCTAAGGTGTTCTCAGTGGGTTTTATCATGTTGTTTCTGTTATGTAGTTGCTAGGGTGTTGTAGGTGGTTTCCAGGGTGTTGCTATGCGGTTGCAGTGTTCTGAGTGGTTTCTAACTTCTTTTTATCTGCTGATATATTCGTTCACCAATGAACCCATTGCACTGGTTCTCACCCTTGAGCCTGCCGGCTGTATTCTTCAGCTGTAGCGACCCGTCGTGAATTAACTTCTGCCCACGTAACAGATCCTCTCTGGCAAACATCTGCCCGCTTTTCATTCTCATGATGGACTTGCTGTCTGTCCGGCTGTACACTTCCTTTAGCTTCTTTTTCTTCTCATGCTCATTCACTTTATTGTCAACAGCAGCAATCACCTCTTTTAGCAACCTCAGACTTTGGCTTATGTCTGCATGGTCCTCCTCATTTTCTGTCATGAAACATGAAACAATATTACCTGGAGCACAACAAATAAGGGTATTAAAATAGCCTGACTACTATAGTAAGTAGTTGTACCTTTCGTGTGCTGCAGTATTCTCTGTAGTAACACAGGATACTTTGTGATTCTTTGTGTGACTAACAATATACACTCAGGAATGCTTAGCCGTCGGACAGCCGGGCTGCTCATCTTTTTCTGGAAAATAGAAACAGATGTAAAACCTGGGAGCAGTTCCATTTTAGAGTCTTAAGAAAGAAACAAAAGAACGGAGAGATTAAACGCTTTAAACGATTTTTGAGTATTTGAGAAAATGTGCATAGGCAAATTAATTTGAGATGCTACCTTGATGAAAGCTTGAAACCGTTTGTCTTTGGTGTGAAGCTCCTTGTAGAAGTTCACAGCTTCATTGTGTCTGCTGCAGAACTTCCCATAGACTTTCTTCATTCTGTCAGCACTGGAACCTGAGAACTACGGAGGAATAAAGAGTGGAAACATTGTTCGGTACTTATACTAAATGCTCCAGACATTACAAATCAATGGATTTCTACAGATGCTCCACCACAGGGTTGAAGCCTGATCCTACCTGAGAGACCAGCACGTCGCCAATCTTTTGGATGACAAAGCCGCCCTCTTCGTGGCTCCCTGACTCTTTCTTCCTTTCGAGCAGGTGTGAGAAGAACTGTGTGTGGAGGTCCAGAACTTCTTCTAACATGGGAAACATCTTCTCTACAGTCTGGACCTCCAATTGAACCTCTCTCAGTAGTCCTTTACTGTAAACATCAGCCATGATCTTCAAGGTCCTCACGTGGTGCATTTCCGTCTGGATGAGCTCTGATAATGAAAGGGGGAAGAAACTTTACCAAATGACCTTACAAGTGTGTTATCGACCCTGTGAATTTGTGAATTTCTCACAAGGTTTGAAAGTGAAAGCAGAAGCTTCTTGGGAGGGTCTGCTGTTATTCTTACCGTAGATGACATCTTGCCTCTTGATAACATCCTTTTTAAGTGGTTTCAGGAATTTTTTGTCTACCGTAAAGCTCCAAGAATCTGCCTCCAGCTCTTTAATGTCAGCTTCAAATTCTCCCATCAACTGACTGTCCATCATCTCTGTACCTGCCGTACAAATTTATTATGAATAACCTTACTGTAAATATTCAATAACTTGACTGGACTCAAGACGGGCCTTTCCTTTGGTAATGTGAGTAATGATTCCAGTACAAGATGAAGAGACTTACCCTCATCGGTGAGAGATTCCGTGGATTCGGTGACTTTACTGGTCTTGTGAAGGGAGTCGGTAGACTGGGACAGAAACTTCAAAGTCTTTAGAGGAGGGTCTTCCATTTGTCTGAATGTGAAAGAGCATAAGATATATTGTAAACTGCATGTTTTAAAGCTTTACTGATTACATAAAACCATGACTATACAATCAAAATATTAAGCACACAATTCATAAAGGTTTAATAATGATGAATTAAATGCAACGGAAAAGAATAAACTAAAAAAGATGAAATACTGTAGGTCTCCAAGAATAAACAGAGGCAAACATGTGATTTTAAGAGCAATTTCAATATTAAATCTAAAAACATCTGTATGTTTTCAGTAAGCAACGGCACTGACCCTGCAATGTTATTAATGGACATGCTCTTGGACAGCGGGTTGCTGTTGAAAGACATGATACTGCTGGGGCTTTTCCGAGGAGGGGCGAGAGGAGCGGGTTGGTCATCAGGAACAGAAATGGCGGACCATGGACGTTCCCGTGCCGGGAGGGCTAAACAGATCAACAACAAATGGTCATATTTTTGAATGATACAAATACAGAAGAAATGCATAAAACAAAGAAATACATGATTGTGTGATTTACTTTTACTTCGAAGAGTGACACCAGGCGTCAAGGCAGAATCTGTAACGGTCTGCTGCTGTTTTTGCTGCTGAAAGAAATATTTTAACGTTTAGTTTTTTATAACGAAATAGTTGACTCAAAAATGAAATTTCTGTATTCACACTCATGTCATACTTTTATGAATAACATAATACAGGTTTGGAAAGACATGAGCACTGTAAACACTGACATAATCTTAATTTTTTGGTTAAACATTCTCTTTCATCATATTATTCCTACAGTTTTGGCCATAGAACGACTATAATTTGAATACAACAAAAAAACGTATGAAACGCAATAGTCCTTGTTTATGACAGTCATATGAGATCCAACATAAAAGTCAATGAATTACCTTCATTTTGACCTTAGCACAAACAGGAAGACTTTCTCTGCAACCTTTGTGGACATGTGTATTGCAATCTGAAAACAAACACAAAATGGACAGGTCTTTATCCATCAGTTTAAAGCAATTTTCCACTTGATCTCATTCAAAAGCAGATAGAATGAGCCTTAAGCTGTAAAATAGCAGTAAACGGAATAAACATGGGAAAAAGTGGCACAATACTAAGACTGTGCCATTTCCTGCTTCCCCATTCGTGTAGGAGAGAGTGAGATGAGTCTTTTCCTGCGTGTCTCCACCTCTGCCAAACAGCTGATGTTTACCACAAATTTAGCTACAAACACTTCGGTTGAGTCATTGTTTATACTCATTTTCTCTATGAAAACAACCTAAAATTGTGAGTTTCAGAGGCTAATTTAAATTAAAATTCAGAAACAACATGCCATAAGTGATTGGCTATTTTAAATATATGACCGATTTGATGTTATGCAGATTTACCATCAATGTAATGCTAAACAAAAACGCTAACTTTAATGCTGCTAATCCCCAGTCAAAACAAACCTGCACGGATGGTTCTTTTGCCTTTCTCTGTCAGTGTACTTTGCACCTCATGACCACAAAACTACAGCAGAGTTAGACACACCCAAAAGAGATTTACAAGCTTTAAAAAACAAAACCACAAACAAGATTGTGCGGATGATGGCATCAAGGGCTGCTAGACCTACACCAGCTACATGTCCGAGGGCGTAGAGATTATGATCTTTTCCCTGCAAGCTCACAACTTTCCCCACTCCTACACAACAGCAAACCCCACACAGTCACGGAAAGTGACTATTTTATAAGAAAACAAGCATACACTAGTGTGGAGTCAGTAAGATTCTTTTGTTGATGATAAAATGAAACTGATCAAAAGTGACAGTAAAGACAGTAAATGCTGTTCTATTGAACTTTCTATTCATTAAAGATATATCACTGTTTACACAAAAATATTAAGCAGCACCACTTTCAACATTAAGAAATGTTTCATCATTATCATCAAATCAGCATATTAGAATAATTACTGAAGGATCATGTGACTGAAAGTCGAGTAATTGCGGCTGAAAATTACATTTTAAAACGTATTAAAACAGAAAACAGCTATTTTAAATTGTAATAATATTTCACAATATTACTTTTTTTAATGTATTTTGAATGGAAAAATAGATTATTAAGTTGGAAGTAATGAAGTAACTTTTCACAATGAATTTGCAGTGAAAGTCATGCTATGAAATTAATGGTTAATAATATATATTTATATATATATATATATATATATATATATATATATATATATATATATATATATATATACATATACACACACTCACCTTAAGGATTATTAGGAACACCATACTAACACTGTGTTTGACCCCCTTTCGCCTTCAGAACTGGAAGTAGCCATCAGATGATGGGTACATGGTGGCCATAAAGGGATGGACATGGTCAGAAACAATGCCCCCACACCATTACACCACCACCACCAGCCTGCACAGTGGTAACAAGGCATGATGGATCCATGTTCTCATTCTGTTTAGGCCAAATTCTGACTCTACCATCTGAATGTCTCAACAGAAATCGAGACTCATCAGACCAGGCAACATTTTTCCAGTCTTCAACTGTCCAATTTTGGTGAGCTAATTTGCAAATTGTAGCCTCTTTTTCCTATTTGTAGTGGAGATGAGTGGTACCCGGTGGGGTCTTCTGCTGTTGTAGCCCATCCGCCTCAAGGTTGTGCGTGTTGTGGCTTCACAAATGCTTTGCTGCATACCTCGGTTGTAACGAGTGGTTATTTCAGTCAAAGTTTCTCTTCTATCAGCTTGAATCAGTCGGCCCATTCTCCTCTGACCACTAGCATCAACAAGGCATTTTCGCCCACAGGACTGCCGCATACTGGATGTTTTTCCCTTTTCACACCATTCTTTGTAAACCCTAGAAATGGTTGTGCGTGAAAATCCCAGTAACTGAGCAGATTGTGAAATACTCAGACCGGCCCGTCTGGCACCAACAACCATGCCACGCTCAAAATTGCTTAAATCACCTTTCTTTCCCATTCTGACATTCAGTTTGGAGTTCAGGAGATTGTCTTGACCAGGACCACACCCCTAAATGCATTGAAGCAACTGCCATGTGATTGGTTGATTAGATAGTTGCATTAATGAGAAATTGAACAGGTGTTCCTAATAATCCTTTAGGTGAGTGTGTATATATATACATATATTTTTTTAATTATTATTATTATATACCACACACAAAAACATTACCCACTAAAAAAAATGCTTCATCTATTTTGTGACAAGACTTTTAGAGATCTATATTAATGGTTAATAATATTTTTTATCTGCCTACATGGCCTTGCTGACATCATCAGAAAAGTAATTTCATTTCAGGCAACCCATATTTAAAAAAAATAAATAAATGCAGTTTTGCTCATATCCAATAATGTAAAATTCAAGGCAATTTTTTAAAATTATTTTTTATTTTTATTTTTTAATTGTAATAATAATATCTTTAAATAATTACCAGACACACAAACTTTACCCACTAAAAAAATGCTTCACCTATTTTGTGACAAGACTTTCAGAGATCTAATATCAAACCAACAACAAAAAAATCTTTAGAGTGTCAGTCACTTTTGGGAAATGAGAGGAAACGGTAATGAGTCTGCCAGCACATCCTCTGAAAACAATAAACAGAGAGCGCTACAGTATGGCGGTAGTGGCGCGCTGACAGGATGGTCTCAGTGCAGAGCTGAACCTTGCCAGCTGTGTGCGGGTGGAGCAACAGAGTGATGCAACATTGTGTAATGCCAGACTGGGCAGAAAGCCATGATTCTGACTCCATTTTTCCCCCTTCGTTTCTTTAAAAATTTACTCATTCTGAAACGCATATCAACCCAATTCTCCACACATATTGTACACAACATTGTCTCTCTAGAAACCTGTGGCTTATAATAAAAAAGATCACATGGGCAGACGGTCTAATTAAAATAGCGTTGTTATTTCTAGAGACAATCTGTAGGCAATTTCTCTACGGATCGAATTATTTTATTTAACCCACTTCCTGTGTGAATCTGCTGAGATGCAAGCTTCTGCAAAAAACACTTTCGCAGTGGTAAATTAAATTCTGAAGCACACGGCTGCACTGCAAATGACAGTAAATGAGGAAGTGCCAAAAAAAGACACCAGCCTATGGGAAACCAAAAGAAAGCGGAAAGAGTGCAAAGAGTAGAACAACGCAGTATTTTAACAACGTTTTGTTTTCACATTTAATTTAATATAAAACACAACTGATAGCGATCCAAATAAAATTTGAATAAAACAGAAGTACCCTGCATCTGTATTAAGTTTAATATTATTATCATATCAAATTGCAAGCGGTTTCCTCTTTTTTCAGGAGTGTTATATCAGGAGTGATTTTAGCAATGTGAATATTATTGTTCATATGAAGTTTAGAATAAAGTTTTATTCATCCTGTCATTTTTCTTTGATTTTTGTTTGTTTGTTTATAGTTTAACGCCATGCCAGCTACCCTGGCTATATTCATGTCGAGAAAGAGATTAAAAAGGTATACATTTTATCTTAAGTAGAAATTCTAAAACTAGATCTGGTCTTACTTCATTTAAAATAAAGAATTATTTTTCCTTTGATTTAAGCAAGTTATTTTTTCCACACATTTAGAAAAGTCTTGACCCCAAGTAGGGAAACTATGAAATAAGAGTGTAATAAAGAACAATATATAAGAGAAAAGTATAGTGTACAGAGCAGAACAGAGTATGTAATGGAATATTATAGAATGTAGAACATGGAAAAAGAGTTCAAACTAGAATAGAGTAATAGATGAAGTACAGAATAGTAATGAGAGTAGAGTGTATAGAACAGAATAAAGAGTATAGGATGTATAGAGTTGAGTATATAATGCAGAATAGAGTAGAGAGCAGAATATAGAACAGAAGGATCAAGTAAAGAGGATAGGTGTAAAGTATGAAGTGTAGAAAAGATTGGAATAGAATTATAGAACAGTAGGGTATAAGAGTAGAATTTACAATAGAAAAGAAGAGTAGAAGCTGTAGACATAGTAGATGAGTAGAATTTAGAGTACAATAGAAGAATAAAGAAGAGAATAAAGGAAAGAGGGCAACAGATTAAAATAGTTGTAGAATAAACAGTAAATAACTAAAGAGGAGTATTGAAGAGAATAAGATAGAAGAATATAAAACAGAAAAGAAGAGTATAGATAACAGAGTTTAGAATAGTAAAGAAGATTATAGAGTAGAAAGGAGTTCTATACTCTAGAATAAGGGATGTGCTCTTACTGGTGCAGAGGAAAGCATCTTTAGTGTTGATGGGTTTGTTGCACTGATGGCAGAGGATTGTGGGTATTGCCATGATGGCAGTGAAGAGATGCCCATTTGAGGATCTCCTCTCCTTGTCTTTGGCATCTTTATCACGCTCCTTATTCTTATCTTTCTCCTTCTCCTGCAAAATACAAAACAAAAGGTGAATAAATAAATGTAAGTGGTGTGATGTACAGTGCTTTCAGCATTACAGCAGCTGGCAGACAGTCAGAGCGGTGCATTAGACTCAATTACAGCGGGGTCCCGGGCTCCCGGCACAGATGTGAGATTAAATGGGAGCGGGGCACATCCATCATAAAACTCAGTGTCAGCAGACCACTACTGAGCATCCATCAGAGGAGAAACCTCATCAGCTCCACAATCAATACTTTCATTCTTTTTCATCTTTCATCTCCAACTGCAGGGATGAAACACTTCAATACATTCTTAACATCTCTTGCACATATATCTATCGCTACTTTATCAATATATACCATATCTACCTACTGTATCATCCATCCATCCATCCACCCACCTATACAGCCATCTATCTACCCACCAATCCATCCATCCACCTATACATCGTCCATCCACCTTTCCATCCATCCACCTATCCATCATCCACCCATCTATCCACATATCCATCCATCTATCTATCACCCACCTATCCATCCATCCACCCACCTATACATCCATCTATCTACCGACCAATCCATCCATCTATCCATCCACCCACCTATACATCGTCCATCCATCTTTCCATCCATCCACCCACCCACCTATCCATCATCCACCCATCTATCCACCTATCCATCCATCTATCTATCACCCACCTATCCATCCATCCACCCACCTATACATCCATCTATCTACCCACCAATCCATCCATCCATCCATCCATCCATCCATCCACCTTTCCATCCATCCACCCACCTATCCATCATCCACCCATCTATCCACCTATCCATCCATCTATCTATCACCCACCTATCCATCCATCCACCCACCTATACATCCATCTATCTACCCACCAATCCATCCATCCATCCACCTTTCCATCCATCCACCCACCCACCTATCCATGATCCACCCATCTATCCACCTATCCATCCATCTATCTATCACCCACCTATCCATCCATCCACCCACCTATACATCCATCTATCTACCCACCAATCCATCCATCTATCCATCTATCCATCCATCCACCTATACATCGTCCATCCATCTTTCCATCATCCACCCATCTATCCACCTATCCATCCATCTATCTATCACCCACCTATCCATTCATCCATCCACCCACCAATTTATCCATCCATCCACCCACATTTACATCCATTCATCCACCTATACATCCATCTATCTACCTACCCACCTATCCATCCACCCACACATACATCTATCTTACTCACCTATCCATCCACCCACCCACATATCCATCCATCCATCCACCTATCCATGCATCTATCTATCCATCCACCTATCCATCCATCTATCTATCACCCACCTATCCATGCATCCACCTATCCATTAACCCATCCATCCATTAACCCATCCATCCATTCACCCATCTATCCACCCATCCATCCATTCACCCATCCATCCATCCAACCATCCATCCATCCATTCACTCATCCATCCTTCCATCCTGTTTCTTTGACAGCGCATGATGTGTCAAAACCACAGCCAATTACAGTAATGCACTTGAGAAAAAGATATCAAGTGGAACCACAAACCACGGATTGTGGCAATTTTTACAGACCACCCTGATTACAAAATCCTGTCTGATCTGCTCCTACAGCAAACAGTACTAGCCTATACCAAGATTATGATCACATGCAAGCCAGAAAAAAAATTAACTCAAAAGGATTAAAAGGTGTCTGATAAGCTAATTCTTAGTATCCCATACCTGCTAAATAAGTACAATTTTTGTGCAAATTTACTGAACTAGTATGGCAGTAAGTATGGTTGGGTGGCTTAATATTACAGCATTAGAAAAAGTAATTAGGCTAAACATTTTATTGGAAGGAAGAGGGTCACAATGCACTTCCCAAAGAGTTTAAACAAGCCTAAATTGTAAAAACATGTCAAAGCCAACAACAAGTCCAACAATAAAAAACAGAAGTAATTCAAGTATTTCTCAACTGGGGTGAAACGATCTCAGCGCAAAAAAAAGTTAAAACAAGTTGCCAAGTCAATTAAATAAATTTTACACAAACCTCTAAAGATAATATTTCACAAACACCACTACAGTACATCAAACAAATGTCTCTATTCAATTTTTATGATGAAAAAGACTATACAAGAACAGTATAACAGTAACAATATTTGGTATCACAGTCCTACCTCACCCAGACCACCAGTATTCTTGATCTTCAGTGACCGCCCCTGCGGTAAAAACCTACGACACAACATAGACATCCCAGATGCTGGTAGCCAGTAAGTGCACTGGCCTGAAGGTATAGCAGATCTGTCTACACAAACACACAAGTTCCCATGACGGAGTGCAGGCGAGTCAGCCAGAGGAAGTGACTGCTGCAGTTTCTTTCTGTCGTCTTTCACATTTGGGCTCAACTTAAAGACACAGTGCACTTCCTTTAACCGAAGACCCTCCCTAGTACACGAGACAACTTGTTTGTTTGCTTTGTGTTGCCCATTCGATCTGAATCTAAATTCCAATGGACATCGCAATTAATTCAGACCCAAGGAGACAATGTGACAACAAACAATGAAAAAGCATTTCCTCTCTACATCACTGACCTAGTTACCAAAAGCATATGGTTAAGCATAAGTCAAGGCTGTAGTATTCTTAGGTCAAAAAAGTGCATATAAACTCCTAAATAATCATATCTAAAGAACTAAACCATATATGGTGGCCCGGCTGGTTCATGTAGACAACTAAAATATGTCATTAAGGTTCTCTGAAACTGTGTGGTAATAGATTTTAACATGCATTTGTTTTCACAGAATTTCAGGAGCTGTAAAGCCTAAGTGTCTGAGAGAGAGTATATTTAAACAGAACCATATAGAGACCACAGCTTGCTTCTACATCCTGTTGAACTTCCCTACTGTGAGCCCTTACACAGACAGAGTGCACAACGTTGCCTGCGCAAGAGCAAATTCTGCAAACATCTAACAAACTCAGATAGTGCAGGGGTAGCTGAACACTTTCACACCATCAGCGACCTCATCATCTCTACAGGAACCACAGAAAACCTCAAAGTTAAATAGCAGGTGCATGCTGCATTATCTCAGAATGATATGTGCCAAAATAAATGATAACATCTGTTTCCACTTATGAGATCTAGTAAATATACATCCTAAGCAAACCCTAGCCTCTAATCCATTATATACCAACCTTGTTCTTCTTGCTCATCTTGCTCTTGAGGTAACTGAATGTCCTGCTCACTTTGGTTCCTACAACTTTGCCTTCACTGTCACTCCGTAACGGACCTGGATCCTCTTCTGATATACTGAATGAGACAAAAGGGAACATAAAAGGGACATTTGAAACTGGCAATATTGTTGGAGCTGTGGCCTAGTAGTTACAGGATACATGCGTTTTGACTTGAGTCTGACAACATTTCTTGGTTTCATTTAAAGTGCAGTGAAGTAACTGTAATCTGGATTACATAATCAGAATCCCAAAATTATATACTTGTAATTAGATTATATTACACTTTAAAATATATACACTAATAGCTAATAGCTGTGATGCAGGTGTCATACCTGTACTCTAATGATCCTGATGTACCTGTGAACGAGCCCAATCCTTAAACGAGAGAAAAACAATTTATTAACATTATTGATCACTTTGAAGTGAGCCTCTGGTGTTCTGTACTTGTACAAAAGAAATTACACAAGCAGTTCTATGGCATGAATAGACTAAGGCACAGCCCTGCAGAGAACAAAGCGAGGCAATTTTTCCAAGCGAAATGGCATATTTATACAACATTGAAAAAAGTATCCATTGTTCTGAAACCACAAAAACTGTTAAAGATGAAATGACTGATCATGTTTTGGAAGGACTGGAGAAACTTGCTTATATTGTTTTTGCCTTCTATAGTAAACTATTACACTGTGTTTGTACAGTAGGTTGTTTATGATACCTCTGACATATGGGTTTGGCTCAGCTATGTACAGATCAAGAAAAAGAGAGAGAGAAAAAATCAAATCAATAAAAATGCAATAAAACATTTTTTAAAGAGTTTTTTCTTAGTTCTAGTGTTGACAGTTACTGCTTTAGCCTGTAGGGTCAGTATAATTTACACTGCATATTAAGATATAGAATGTAAAGTACATCTAAACAATTAAGCCTAAAAAAACAAACAAAAAAAAATGCTGTACAAACCATTGATGCAAGCAGATATTTGCTTGGAACTGCCATGTTCAGGTGATAGCTTTATGCCTTTTTGGCTATCTATTTCTTTTTACAAGGAACCATAAGCAGCTGTGAAATCTAAAAGCAGTGCTATAAAATGTGTTTATGTGGATTTGAATGACTTTGAAAGACATGGCGAGAGATGGAGCCAATGGAAAGAAACTATACAGACGTGGCAATGTCTCATTTGGGAGACCCGCTATCCGTGACACCCGTCCAATAATCCGCAGGAATGACTCGAGTAAAAGTATGTGCTTACTAAAATACCATTTTTCTGTCGGACGAGGGACTATGAAGGATTCTTGACAAATGCATCGCAAGCATGCGCTTCGGCTGCACATACTTAATGAGCGTTGTTGCTTTACTGCGGCAGTAACAAACCACAGCACTGAAGTGGGTGATGTACCTTAAATTTCTGTGCCAGTAAACCAGAGGTATTATAATTCAGAAAGCTAGTTATAAACTTGTCAAAACCCTAACTAATTTTAACCTGCTCAGCAAGATTCTCTTCTAATACATCTCTTATATCACATTTTTTTTATCAAAAAGTGATATAAAAGGTGCAATAAATGCATCACCAGACAACATGCACATTATACACAAAGTTCAATAAGTTATTGCGTAGAGAATTGAAAAAAAATAAACACTTTATTATTTTGGCACTTCAGTCAATCAGTGTTAATTTTCTACCATTTTTTATAACCCATAGGTTAGATAAATCCGGCTAGATAAAAAAAATTTAGACGGATCAATAACTCAACACTGTCATAAAAGTGATTCACTCAACACATGGGACAATTTAAATAAATAATTAAAGAAATTATTGAATAGGTGTTTTAGAAACTAATTCAAGGGGCCAGTCTGATCAATAACTTAGTGACACAAGGGAAGTAGGGGGCACACTTCACATTAAGCAGGGGTCGGGCAGGGGCCACGCCAGGCATTGTGGGATATTCTTTTACTTACTGACTGCCTCCTCCTCATCACTGGATGAAGAGCCAATAGAAAAGAGAGTTTTAGATTTGGGGAGCATGGGCGAGATGCTGAAGGAGAAGGAGATTCGCCGCTTGGGTCGTGGCCGTCCGATCGCTGGTGGGTTCCATTATCACATGGGCAAAAAAGATCAAAGCAGGCGTTATAATAAAATTGGGTGCTAATACACTGGCAGTAAAAGTCCACTCCCTTAAAGAGACACCACAGTGAAAGGGAACCACGGCAGGTCCAAATCTGATGAGTTGAAGAATACCAACAATCCAAGTTGATACAGGACATTTTTTGTAGTATAAAAATCCCAGGACACGAAATCAGGGTGTTAGATTATGACAAGTGAGTGGTCAGTGTGTGGTCATATATGACTGAATGTTTCCACTCCTTCTCTTACCAGGGCATGAAAAGAGGTCAGGAGAGAAAAGAAACCGTCTGAACTCTGCAACATCTGATCTAAGCTTATTTATATGCTTTATTTAAATTGCTTTTTAAGCATAAAATACATTTTTGCATTGCAGTGCTGCAGAGCTCAGAGTGGCACAGTGAGACACAGAATAGAAAACCAGAGAGGGTGTTTAAACTCACCATCCAGGTCTTTCTGACTGATGGCCAACATGGAGACAGACTTGGTGAGAATGGGTTGTGAAGGTGGGACACATCTTCGTCCAGAATGGATGGACTTCTGAAAGCAGCGTATATGACAAATAAGTCAATCAATGTAATTAAATGCAATAAAATTATTACTACAAAATTGTGGTCATAAACATGTCAACAATAAATCATTTAAAAAATATATGATAAAATATTAAAATATAAAAAAAATCTACAAAAGTAATATAGTTTAAATGGTTTCATTAATACATTTGTAAAATTAATATAAATTAAAATAATATATTACATCAATAATAATAATATTATAATATTAAGATAAAATATTAAAATATAATATAATATATATATATATATATATTCTACAAAGTAATATAGTTAGTTTAAATGGTTTTAAATTAACTAAACTTACTAAAATATAAATAAATAAAAAAATGATATATATCCAATATCTATTGGTATAAGGTCTCATCTTTCCTTCCACAGAACAAAAAGCTAGACGATAGCCAATTATGTTTTAAAAGTGGCGACTCAAACGAGACTGCCTTGCTCTCGGTTATTGAATCTCTACGGATTGCAAGAGCTAATACAAAATCATCAGTTCTCATGCTGCTAGGTCAACATTGCATTGGCTCCCTATTAAACATTGTATACATTTTTAAATATTGCCGATTACTTACAAAGCACTAAATGGTTTAGCTCCCCAGTACTTGAGCGAGCTCTTAACACATTATAGTCCTTCACGTCTATTGCGATCTCAAAATTCTGGTCAGTTGATAATACCTAGAGTATCAAAATCGACTGCTGGCGGTAGATCCTTTTCCTATTTAGCACCTAAACTCTGGAACAGTCTCCCTAACATTGTCTGGGAAGCAGACACACTCTGTCAGTTTAAATATAGACTAAAAACGTTTCTTTTTTACCTGGCATACACAAAGAAAATTATACAGTCCTATTATTCAAATCAGTTAAATGATTATTAAGCTGCATAAATTAGGTCAGCCGGAACCGGGAACACTTCCTGTAACACCCGATGTACTCGTTACATCATAAAAAGAATGGCATCTACGCTAATGTTACTCTTTCTGCTTATTCCAAGGTTTACTGTAATCAGCTGGATCCAGGCCGTATCCAGATCAGATGGTGGACCTGCGCCTAGGCACGACCACAACGCATGACTCTCCCCTGTGAAGGCCTCATCAACACGACAGCCATCGGCAATGATCCTCAACAAACCTATCTCCATACCGACGTGATGACTCCGATCTTCAACCAGATGGAACTGGATAATATTCTGATTGTTCCAATCCAATCTGACTTCTGACCTATAATGCTGCCTGAATCATATCATACACTGTTCGTTCATTGGCCAGAGGAGAACTGGCCCCCCGACTGAGCCTGGTTTCTCCCAAGGTTTTTTTTCTCCATTCTGTCACCTGATGGAGTTTTGTTTCCTTGACACTGTCGCCTATTTCGCCTTTTTTCACCTTTGTTGCCATTGGCTTTTGGCTTGCTTAGTTGGGGACATTAAATTTAACATTTAATTTAATTTTCAACAATAATATTGATCTGCCTGCATTGACACCATTATATGAGAACTAAACTGAGCTAGAGATGATGATATATATATATAAATTAACTAAATTAATAACTTTTTTTACAAATAAAATTAAACATCACTCAGCTCACTTAAAGGTGCTCTATGTAACTTTTCTACTAAAATGAATCCTTTTTTTATTGCCTGTGTGTGAAGGGGTTGTAATCACACATTAAAATGATCCACTTGCCGAGTTTTGCTATTACCTCTGAAGGCCAGTATTCCTATTTCTATGTGAAGTCTCCGGGTCGGATTTACCGTAAAATCCAATGGATGTGACGTGCATGCGCGCTCCCGAGCCTCTCTCCTTATATACAGTCTATTGTAGACGGTCAGGGAGTTACGTCCGGTTAAAGGCGCACGTTTTTCGGCTTATATCTCAGTCAATCTTTAATCAATATTCCCAAGACTCTAATCGTTCGTAGTGCTGGACGGGGCCTTTCGAACGAGCCCACCCCCGAGGTCCAACTCGCCCGGCTCCCCGAGTTATAGCCGTTCGAAATCGGGGGTCCCAGCGAACGGCGATCCGGTAGGGGGCATCCCCGAGGCCCGCCACTCTAGCGTTCGGGCAAGGGTTCCCCGGGGACCTCCTCCCCCGAATTTGAGCTCTCTGGGTCTTTGCGTTCCAGAGATACGAGCGATTTTCTTCTGAGATCGTTACGTCACCGACGTCCGCAATTTTGCAGCGCGCCCGATGGTTTTCTGCTAATATCTCCGCGAAAACACCACCAAAAACTATGGAACTTATATGGTTCTTTTCAGCTCGACTAGATGGTCCCAACGAGCTCGGTGCTCGCCGAATCCGTCTAGTATTCACCGAGATATTTGCGTAATAGACGGTATTGTCTATGAGTTCGAGCACGAGCGCTCTTGTAAAATTTGGTTGCAATCTGAAACATCACCACTAGAGGCTGCTAAAAGTTACATAGAGCCCCCTTAAAGCTTGACTGTGACGCTATTTTATTCTGGAAACAAACTTTGTCGTATTATTTTCCTGTTATCTCTGTACAGCTGCTTTGAAACAATCTGTATTGTCAAAAGCGCTATATAAATAAATGAGACTTGACTAGATCTACAGTATCTGCAGCTTTTGACACTTAATCATCAGATCCTTGGGTCCACCCTCTCATCACTGGGCATTACTGGAACTCCACTTTGCTGGTTTGAATCTTATTTTACAGGTAGGTCTTTGGGAATCCAAAATACATCAACTGGTCACCGGGGTACCTCAGGGTTCAGTTCTTGGACCCCTCCTCTTCTCCATATACACTACATTACTAGGACCCATTATACAGGTTACTTCTACCATTGCTATGCTTATGACACACAGCTTTACTTTTCATTTCAACCAGATGATCCCACGGTAGCTGCACAGACCTCAGACTGCCTGGTGGACATTTTGCATTAAATGGATGAATGAGCATGCAAACACATCCAACTCAACTTAGCAAAGACAAAACTTCTCATCTTCTCAGCCACTTCATCATTACAGCACAATTTTACCATCCAGCTAGGTTCAGCAACAATAATCTTGGAGTAATTTTGGATGGCCAGCTGACCTTCGAAGACCACATTGCGACAACAGCACGTAGGTGCATCATGCATGTTTGCACTGTACAGCATCAGGAAGATCAGACCCTTCCTAACTGAGCATGCAACACAACTTCTCGTCTAGACCCATGTCATTTCTAGGCTGGACTATTGCAACACCCTTCATGTGCAATCAAATCACTTCAAATTATTCAGAACACAGTGGCTCGACTGGTCTTCACCGAACCCAAAAGAGCCAATGTCACGACGCTGTTTATCTCTCTGCACTTCCGGTAGCAGCTTGCATGAAGTCCATGATGGCCACAGGCTCCGCCCCTCCTATCTCCACTCTCTCTTACGAGTTTACCTGCCCTCCAGGAACCTGTGGTCAGTAAGTGAGAGGCGCCTTGTGGTACCATCACAGAGTAACATCTACTTCACTATATTACTTTGTCTATACTTATATAGGAATATACTTACCTCCCTATTCTAGCTTGTACTATCCTGAGCGATGGCTGAAACTTTGTATACTAGCACTTCTCATGTTTATTGCCTCTTTATGATGAATCGCTTGGTGTATTCCTTAAATGTAAGTTGCTTTGGATAAATATTAATTTAAATGGTTCAAGTAATATAGTTTTAATGAATTTTGTTACATTAATATAAAATTCATTTGATGTGTGGTCAGAGATGCATATATTGGCTTTTTGTCTGTCTATGAATGCTGATTGGCACTACCAATCAGGTTTCAACGCTGAATCTATCCATTCATAAATGGTATTTTACCTGACTGTCTAAACTGCTGCAGTCGCCCAGGTCTGATTCCTGCTCCTCTTCAGTCAGGGACACAAGCGAGCCTCTCTCTTCTCGGTCCAGCTTTGACGGACAGTTTGGTTCCTGGCTGGCCTCCCCTACATGCTGGATCAGACTTTTCCTTCCTTCCTTCTCTGCTGCAAGTCCTTCCAGGCTGTAACTGTGGAAAAAAATATGTGATTATGCCTGAATGTCTTTGCGGATGAGATATTTTAAAATGGTGAGATGGTGACCACATGTACACACTGAATCACACAAGATATTTTACCTTCTTGTGGGTGACATTTAAACACACAATATACTGACACAAACTCATTGAGATTCACATGCACAAAAAATCAAATGAAAACAAGCATAAGTCAAAACTAGCAAAGGATGACAATAAAAGCTTGACCTCAGTCTGTGAAAGCTGGCCATGGCGAATAATAATCCACTGACAAGCCAATGACATTTTCTCAAGCAAAATCATTCAAGCTTTGCCACAGTAATGGTTAGCCATTTTACACATGGTGAAAATCAATGCAAAACGTTTTACAGTGGCCTAAACAAGTGTTTGCGTCACCAGACAACATGCACATTATACAGAAAGTTCAATAAGTTATTGCGTAGAGAATTTAAAAAAATAAACATTTGATTATTTTGGCACTTCAGTCAATCGGTGTGAATTTGAGGGCAAGTTACTTCATAGATGCAGTGAAAACTACTTTTGGATCAAATGGTTAAAAGCAATTACAGATATGGTATAAAAAAGAATAATTTGTTTGCAGATGCCACATTGAATGCAATGCAATTCAATCATTTAAAGTGCAGTGTAAGTATTCCAATAGTTTTTTGGACCACGGTATGTACAAGATCTAAACTACATGCTAAAAAACATAACATTTACTTCAAGCTAATTGTTCAGAAAGCAACTTAATTTTAACACAACTCTGTGATGTGTTCTGAAATTCTTTCTAACAGGAAACGCTTAAAGCGACAATGTGGTAAAATAAAAGTAAAAACATCTCACCTCTCATCAGGTTCTGAGATCCAGATCAATATGTTAGTCATTGTTGACATTAGTTAATATCTGCTGTGATACTATGGTTTAAATCAACTGTTCGGCTAAATGGATTCATGAAAGTGGCCGGTTAGTTTCGGTCTCAGACAATGAAGTAAACGGAAGTGACTGCAAGAGTGTTTGTGGTCTCGGATGTTTGTCCGGAGAGGAGAGAAGACTAAACCATAGAAAGGAAGTAGACAAACACACAAAACACCATCCACATTCACCTCCGTCTTTACACAACACACCATTTGTGCTTTCATAATGCAATTCATGCCGTAACCATTACCCAAGAAGTTTTCTTTAAAGATTTTAGACACTTCCTCTTTTTTTTTTTTTTTTTTTTTTTTTTTACCTTCTTTCATTTATTTCGTCGTTTTCTGTGTGCAGGGCAACCGAAGGACACCAGCTCATGCTTCATAGTGAAGCACATGAAAGGAGTATGGAAGGATGGATGGATGGATGGATGGATGGATGGATAGAAAGACAAAAAGAGAAACTTGTTAGTACAAAGACCAGATCTAAAAGAGGCCCTTGAACATTTAACATTACGTAACTTTCTTTTATGCTACATCGTGCAGGGTTATTATAGTTATCTGAAACCATAAAAAACATTTTTTTTAGTTGAAATAAAATAAACGTTAACTAAAATATTTTTTAAAATGTATTTTATCTCAGATAGTTGGCAAGGAAACTGAAATACAATTAATTTTAAAAGTAATTGCGACTTTTTAATCTCTTTTTAATCTTTTAAACTCTTTACCAAAGACTTTTTAATCTAAATACTAATTTTGAAAAAAGTCAGAATTGTGTGATATAAACTCGCAATCCTGACTTTATTTCTCACAATTGAAAGTTGATAAGTCGCAATTATGACTATTTCATGCAATTCCAAGTCTATAACTCGCAATTATGACTTTTTTCTCGTGATTGCGAGTTATTACTTAGAATTATGACTTTATTTCCTGAAATTTCAAGTTTATAACTCACAATTATGACTTTATTTCCTGAAATTTCAAGTTTATAACTCACAATTATGACTTTATTTCTCACAATTCCAAGTGAAATTTTTTGAGTTTAGGTATAAGCTTCCGAGATATAAACTCAGATTTGCGAGAAATAAATTCAGAATTGCGAGTTATAGACTTGCAATTGTGAGAAAAAAAGTCAGAATTGTGGGTTTATATAGGCAATTACCTTTTTTATTCCATGGCGGAAACAAGGTAAATACATCACTAACACTGTAAACTAAACGTGTTTAACTTCGTTTTGATGAGATCAGTTAGTGACAGTTTTTTTCTACAGCATATGGTGCACACACCACAATATAGCATTTTAAATATTTCCATGGACCATTCAGAAACAGTTTGATGGGGCCCATGAGCGGAAAGAGTGAAAATGAATGATGGTACCTTCTCCTATGGCCTGCAGACCTGCGCTCCACTTCACCTCCTGACGAACTGGAAAAAGTGATGGATGAAAATGATGAGGAGAAGATGGATAGACAGAAATAATGAAACAAAAATGTATATGAAGAGCGGATGAGATGATTGACACCCCTAGGAATGTTTACTAGAATGATGATTAAACAAGAGTAAAAACATTCAAATATAGATGCAAATATACATAACAGACATTTTTTGGATGATACCAATAACTGAGAAATATTCTAAATAATAATTATAAATTAATTTTCTGATAGAAATTATAAATATTTAATAGATTCATAATTATATAAAAATGTATTATAATTATTGATACTTTCTAAAAGATTTATTTTTATGTTGTAATTATGGTCAATATAATAAAATTAATAATAAAATATAATCACTATAATAAAATTATTCTGGTTTTGCAGTCTCTTTTGGTTTAAAGTATACATAATGTTTATTGTATTTTATTCAATCAACTATATTTGTATAAAATATAATATTAATTTTATATATATATATATATATATATATATACAGTATATATATATATATATATATATATATATATACAGTATATATATATATATATATATATATATATATATATATATATATATATATATATATATATATATATATATATATATATATATATATATATATATATATATATATAAATGCAAAATAAACACAACCTAAAGGTTCCAGGCAAATAATTGTACTTAATTTTAAGTCAATAAATTAAAAAAGATAGTGGATTTATTGGATATAAATTAAAAGAAATTAAATGAACGTAAGAAAAAAATGAACGTATTGAGTTCTCTTCAGCATGAAAAGAAACACAACCATAATGTTAACCATGATGTTCCTCTTTTCTGTCTTTCTGAGTATAAGAGGTCATCTGTTTTATCATTGGCAGGAACAAAGTCTTGTGTGACCTAAATACAGCTCTTTCTTTCACAGAACATCTGCCTGTTTACAAAGCCCACAGAGGAAAGAGCCCTCACACCACTGGGATTTCCCTTCATAAACACACAAACACATTCACATACAGACTGCCAATGACTCAGGGGAGAGCTGTACACAAAGCAAAACTAATGCGAAGATGATGGGACAAAAACCAAAACTGAGCAACTGCAAGCGTAAACTCAAGTGCATGGAACGGTGCGGTTCGGTTCGGTACGGCACGCTTTGGCGCTTTTCCACTGCATGGTACAGTACGGCTCACTTATGGCGCATTTCCACTGCATGGTACGGTACGGTACGGCTCGCTTCGGCTCGCTTTAAATGGTACCTGGTCTGTTGAGGTTCCAAGCGTACCGTACCGATACTAAAATGTGACGTGAAAACACTGCAGATCACTGATTGGTCAGACAGACAGAATCGTCACTATCAGCGTCATTGTATTTGCGACACGAGACACTAAACCCACTAGATTTAAATAGCCAGTAGACAACAGCCACCGCTGTAGCACCTGTTTTAAAACTACTTGCTTGACTTGCTTGAAGAAAAAAGAAAGAAAGAAAACTTCCATAAAAAAGAAATGGCTGAATCGTGGTCAGTGGACGAAGTGCAGACGTTCGTCTCGTTGGTTGCCGAGGAGCGGATTTATGCTGCGTTCCAGGCAGGTTTTTGAGCACGTAAATCACGACTTCAAACCACGACTCACGACTTTGTAGCATTCCAGGCCAGTCACGCCAAACTACCTGAGCGCAATATACATACTTATTTTTTCAGACACATAACATTGTAATACATAATCGTGTGTGTATATACATACTTATTGTTTCAGACACATAACATTGTAATACATAATCTTGTGTGTATTATTATCATTATTATTATATTTTTATTAATTTGACTGCAACGTTATATTGTCCTAAAGTGTATTCTCACTGTGTACCGCCTACAGAAACACTGCATCCGTAGGGGCTGCCATTGTTGTTTTGTATGGTTTTGCGGGCTATGTGACGTCAGAACTCGTAACTGGGAGTACATCGATCTAGTACGAGTTCACGGGTGGGAAGTCACGGGTTTGACTGCCGTTCCAGTGCACTTTCACGGGTATAAGGTTGGAAAAACACGGGTTACAGGTTGCCTGGAACGCGGCATTATTCCTGACGACCTTACTGCGTTTTGAATTATGGGTGGCACTTCCGGTTTGGAGAACTTCCATTCAAAAAGGCTGAAACGAAGCATTTCAAATCATAAGGTTGCCCTACAAATAAAGCTGATCCGTCAGTTTGACTGGATGAGCTGTCAATTTTCCTTCATGATTTATTTTCAGACATTATGAGAATAACGTTATACTTGGTATTTTAACGTGACATGTTATAACAAGAATATCTATGGCAAGAGCTCTTTTCAGTCGCTGCTTTATTTTCCTCGTGATGATTTTTATTTTTTCCTTTGCAATCCGCTGTAAAAGTATGAAAAAGGACAACATATACGGCACATTTGTGGTCTGTTCTCCCGAATTTAATTTACGATATTCCATTAATAATTCACTGGAATGGACGAAGAATCTCTCGTTATTCTCCTAAAATCCTCACGTCTCTTTCCAGGTTTGTTTTCACAGGTAAATGCAATTTATAATCTGTCAAAATGACGGAAATCACTTTGATATAGTGTCACGTAATGCTGAAGTTAATGAACATTTTTGATTAAGGCTTGTTATACAATACAGATCGTATACTTGCCTGTGGTATTTAACCAAAGACTCGTGCTTTTGGGGCTATTTATAGTCTGTTGAAAGTATACCTTGTTGATTCTTTTAAACTGTTAAATTTCATTTTAATGTTCGATGGTTGAAGGGTGAGTCGATTAATGTCATCTCATTGTGACACTTTTTTTAACGTATTGCGTTCATACATAGAGCGAGCCTTTCACTGATTGTTTAGATTGTTTACAGAACGGAAGTTACACCCATAATTCGCGCAAAGCGTCATGGGGCGTAGGAATACGGTGGATAACGGTCCGACTATAATCCCACCCACTTTGAAGCGGTAACTGCAGTGGAAAAGCAAACCGAGCTAAAGCGAGCCGAGCCGTGCTGTGCCGAGCCGAGTCGTACCACGCAGTGGAAAAGCGAAGCGAGCCGAACCGTACTGAGCCGTACCAGCAGTGGAAAAGCGCCATAAAGTGTATGCTACAGTATGTATATATCTGATAGCATAATAAAGATGGATACAATGAATGATCAGGCAGAGGGGGGCGGCATATTGGGCTTGTGTTTCCATGTGTTGCTGTAATAATGTTATCAGATGTTTTACAGGAAATATAAACAACAGGCATCTTGCATGTGTTAAATGTAAAACCTTTACCAAATATATACATTTAAAATGTAGTCTCTCTTTTATTTATAATATATCATGATCGTTCTGACAGTTTATGTCTTCCAAACTATATATCAGATAACAGAAGCTAAATAGTCAAATTACACATTTGTCGTTCAGCTATTTCAATTAGCATGCTAGCTAACTGGTTAGCCAACCAGCTTTGCATAGCACACATCTGATTAGAATAAGAGCCACAAACCAAAATACCACAAACTGATTAGCCTGCTATCTGAGCATACCTCTCCCTGATAGCTTTTGATTATTTTCTAGAACTAGATACTGCGATATGTTTTGAAACATTATTAGCCATCTCAACGCCCCGCTAACCGATTAGCCTGGTAGCTTAGCATACCACAAGTAAACTAACAAGGTAGCTTCCATTACTACAGACGGACAAAAGAAGATATTGCATCATGTTCATCATTACAAATGGCTACCTTTTAGGGTTTAAGAGGGAAAGGATTCTCTAAATTTGCACTGCACTGAACTGTGATGTAAAACTTAAGTCAATTGGCTATTTAAGGATAGTTCAAACCCCTCAATATGTCGTAATGTCCTGTTTCAAGAGGACAGAAAATTGCTGTTCGCATACCGCAAAGTGACTTCAATTTTGACATGAACGCTTTGTGTATGTGTACAGACGAATGTGAAGCCTTTCAAAGTATACTCCATAGTATAGTGTGCAAACAGTCGCTCAACACATGTCCACATATTTCTGTGTTTTTTTTGTAATGTCTGTCTTTTCGACTGTAAAACTACAGCATGGGCTGCATGATGACAATACTTACATCACGTGAACTGTACGCATATCCTAGTGTATAGCCCCGTACACACCGGGACGAATATCGGCGCACGTTATTCGTCCGCTTTTTTTAACGCGTTTTTTGTGTTCACACCCAAGCGATTTTCGCTGACGATGAGCCGAGTGAACATGCAAATTCATTCCCTGACATTAGATGGCGCTTAATGTAAAACAGAACTAGTCCTATTTTGTAGTCGCTGTCGCGTTTGTCATATAGATCTTTATGTTCCAACACCAACGAGACCAGAAGCTCTACATTCATCTTGCCTCGCATCTTCCTCGTCTTATTTCTTCCTGGCAGTGTAGACCATAGATATCCATAATAAAGGCCATATTTGGCCAGCAGCGCGGACGAGACATCTAGCCTTTATTATGGATATCTATGGTGTAGAGCATCTTCTTCGCCGTTACGTATGTGTGCTCAGCAAGACCGTTTTGTGTTTGAGCGCCCCCAAGTTGTGTTTTACTATAACTTCAGAAGCTCCAGACACGTGAGCAAAAGCGCCAAACTCATTGGTCGGATAGTTTTTGACATATTTTTTTCATAAAAAATGACGCTTTTACGCGTGACGTTTTTCGCGTCGGTGTGCACACACACATTGGCGCCCTTTGTTTAGTCGCGAGGCGTTAAACGTCGGCGAATATCGCGCACGAAATTCGTCCGGGTGTGAACAGGCCTTCAGTGTAAAAACCAAAGTACGCTGTGTTTAAGTCACAAAACTTAAATTTTTTGCAGTGGAGATTCATACCTGCGCCGACTAATCTCGGTCTCCCCTGCTGAATTTTTGCCCGGGCCCCAGCTGTGCCTGCGGAAAGGAGACAGGGATCGTATGGAGGTGCGTAGAATGGCCGGGACCTCAGTCAGACGGTCCTTTTTTTCTTCCTCCTCTGTTTCTCTAGAAATGGGTGAAGCTCCTGGAGAAGTGGGATTTTCCTGACAGGTGTCTGATGCAGGGGCCTCTGTGCTGGCCTGAGGGATGGCGCAAGGGGTCCCCAGACTGGAGCCTTCATCTGTAGAGGACGAGTAGGTCATGGACACACCGCTGGTGAGAGTGACACTGTCCTCACCCTTTGATGGAGAAAGAGGACGACAATTAGAGTTTGAAAAAACAAAATCACTTCCGATCTAAACACATTTGATGTTTGGTAGACCGCTATAGTAAGACTGGGATTTTGGACCAATGAAATTGCACTGTGGGTTGGACTTCCCAACCTGACGTAATGAAAATCACACGTAGCGCCTGGTTAGAACAAGCGTATGTGAATTTTGCGAATGACTGCTGATGACGTATCACCTTTACATCTCTGCAGTGTACATACAAGCAGACTCATTTTTTTCCCTACAAACCCCATGGAGTCTCAGAGTTCTTTCCATCCTTATAAAGCTTACATAACATAGAAACACACAGCCCTAAAACTCATTTCCATTCACAGCGGCTCATTAGTTTCTTCGCATGCTGAGACTGCAGCCAGGAGAGGGGTGTGGTGAGCTAGCGGCTACATTACACACTAACCGTACCGTAATAGTTGAATTTATGAGCTATGGGGGGGGAAAACACTTCCAGAACACAAGTCAAGCTTAGGTGAAGTGCCTCTACCTGCTTTCAGAGCTTAGAGAAAATGTAAGCACGCTACATGAAATTCCATGTACAATTCCAAGAGAAAAAGTAGGCTAGTTCGGGTGCCATATAAAGCTAATGTCCTCCAAAAATAAACTTTTAGCCAATATAATCATTTAAATATTTTCTCTTCTGGCAAAATGAAGCAAAAACATCAAGTTTTGACTAATAAGTTGCTCTTTTGAATGAGAATTTGTTTTACCTTCGCATTGTGTGCAACCTAACTTAGCCTTGCATAATGCTAGCTGCTTAGCCTGTTCTCTCAGCAAAATGCTAGCCAATTAGCCTGGCAGGTTAACATACCAATAGTAGCGCCACTGGGTTTGCCGAGTGGCTCGTTCCCCATATGCTGTAGCATTGGTTTTTAGAAAGGCCTGTGCGATGGCACGTGCGTCATCACTATGACACACACCGGTGCGGCATAAGTCCTGGCTTTTGTTCACATAGGGCACGTTCCGGTATGGATCCCGGCAATGTTACTAGGTCCCCATCCCGGCATCAATCCCGGGACGTGTTTGCATTCACACAGAAGGCACTCTAGCAATTTTACGGCAATTTCCCGGGATCAACGCGCTGTGTGAAAGGGGCTTTGCTTAGAGCAACACTTGAGTAGTGTCTAAGTCTGTGTTAAACATCTTTAAATTGAGGCAAGGAGTTTAAGGGGTGGAGAGATCCACAGGGAAACTCTTAGAGGAGGTGGGAAAAAAGGAGGAAGCATGTCTGAGGATGAGGTCATAATAATGGCCTTGGCCCACCGATGTGCTCACGTCACTTGACATGATGTCAGTGGAGCAAGATGTTGTGTGTAGAGAAGATCACCACTGAAAATGAGACGCATTACATAACCGCTTTATCTGGCAGAGGCAAAAGCGAGGGGTTCTGCTTGGTAAAGGGACATAGAAACAAAATAAATAGCAACTCTGCTTCGAAAACAAACCGAATTGGGTGATATTATAAAACAACGCAAATCCGCACCCACCTTAATATTAAAAACTATGTCCTCGCCCAAATCCTGGCTAAAGAGAGAGTCGCCATCGCTGACAGACCCTCGCATGGGGCTCGCTGACTCTTTGTGACGTACGCTCTCGGGTGAGGGGGTCGAAGGGGGGAATTCTGGGGGGGGAAAAAGAATCAGGAACAACATGAGAATGTTGAATAGCAACAGAAGAAGAATAAATAGAAAATAAAACAGACCAGACTCGATTCTCACGGACTGAATCAAAATACAGTCTGAAAGTGAGTCATTTGAGTCGTCATTGTGTTGCATCTCTTCTCGCAAGACAGGATGTTGATGTCATCTACTTAAATAGATGATCTTATTTGACTAGTGGAGTCTTTTGTATTGACAGGAAGACATTCATTTAGTCTTTGGAGGATGTGTATGTCGTTTCCCATGTGACACAATGTGGGCACTATTTAGATTGGACACACACAGACACACAGTCTGAGCAAAGAGGGCATCCTCTCTTTTGTAGCATGCTGGAAGATGTATGAAAGAGGTTTTTGTGTTTTGTTCTGGATGTAACTTTCACCCATAAACTAAACCTACGTGATCCAATGTTGAGTTGTTGACGTCAAACGCTGTACGTTCAGTAAAACTATGTGGTATTTCAGTGTAAATTTATGGTTAGAAGCCACATAAATTACGTAGGTGCTAACATGAACATCCTCAAAGACCATGAATATTTGCTTTACCAACTTGATATTCAATGCAAAAGACTTCAGTTACAAAATCAGTTGGTTACCTGAGCTCACTGAAGTGGATTTCTTCTCCTGGAGTCCAGCATCTCGACTGGCATCAACTGAATAAAACGTCTCTGTCTCTCTGTGAATCTGAAATGAGAAAATCATTCCAGTTTAGAGTGTGTCATTTCATGTCCAAAATAACTCTTTTGATATACAGATCAGAAAACTTTACAGCTGATTTTGTATATTCTAAACTTATAATATTCACACTTGTCATATAAAAAATACTACATGAAATCTGATTGGTTGACGAATGTTCTGAGGTGTGCAATTATTTTCAGGGAAACGCGCGGCTATAGTAGTTCCAGGTAGGTCTTGACCGTATTATTACAGTTCCATATCACTTCGCCAAATCATTTCAGTTATTTCAAAAGGTCCTTACAGCCTACAACAGCAAAAGAACCACAACCCACAATGACACTGACCAAGCAAAAATATATATAGTAAACAACAGGAAAAAAACAATAAATTATTTTCATGTTTTTTGCCACAAAAATACATTTTATGTACGTACGGAAAGCACATACTCTCTTTCTCCCACTCAAACGCACACACATACGGTACGGACACACTCGCACAGAAACGTGTTGTCAGTAAAATAGTTTAGCAACTTTAAAGCTACATGGCATTTCTCACTAGCGAGGTAATAGCGGCGCTGTTCTTGGAGTAGATAGTTTCACTATTAGTAGAGACGCTGCAGCCGAACGCTGTTGAGAGACTCAGGTAATTCACACACGCTTAATCTCTCTCTCTCTCTCTCTAATAACTGCATTAATAACGGCATAACTGAAAGAAAAATCAAGGTAATAAAGATAAAGATCATTTGTTGTCAACTGAATATTTTTTATTGTGCATCATTGCCAATCAAACTGTAGGCCTAATTTTATTTTATTTTTTAAAAAGAGTTGATTTTCTAAAAGGTATTGATTTTCTCAAATGCATAATATTCTCAAGATCCATCATCTGCTAAAAATCATGCTAGAATCCAGCAGGACATACAGTACTGATGCATCAGGTGAAAGATGGTTTCCCTCTGCAACCTAAAACCAGGACAAGTATCTCAATGGTTTCGACTTGGACGGCTAAAGCATTTTCCTTCGACCACAGAAGAATTCACTTTCTTGATGGAGAAATGTGCCTTTCTTCTGCTCGTGAACAGAAATATTAGCAGCGGTAAGAGCGTCTACCTCCTGAGAGAGTTACATGTGGTTGTAAACCCTCAAGGCTGTGATTTGGGGCAGGAAGGGTTTCTGGGGGCATGTGTGGGGCATTCAGAACAGACCTGGAGGAATGTGACCCACATGTAAACATCACGGCCCACTAACGTTCAACATAGAGCAGCTGTGAACGGGCCATAGAGGGCTAGTTCTAGGCTACTGTAAGGACAAAGTGGTCACCCTACAATAGTGGTGCAGGGATGATGTAAATTTGTAGGCCAACCCGTAACTTAGCATTACAGAGGTTCCCTCAACAAAAACCCAATAGGATTTTTACATAGGCTTTTGGTTTATTGTAAAAAAAAGCTCTGTGATCACCACAAGATCATGATAGTAACATGTTTTCACATTTTCACAAATTAACAATACTTTTATGAATTTTGAAGCCTAAATACAATTGCCAGAAGTAAAAAGCTAAAGGTAGGCTAGAAACTATCTACACCACAGCCCCAAGACTTTAACTCTATGTAAAAAAAACATTTTCCCTAAAAGTTTGAGTTAGAATGGTTTGGAAGAGCATGATAAGCACAACGAGGCTGTGAAACGGACTGAGTGGACTTGATGTTCATGACAGCCTCTGTTGTCACATTTAGCCACTTGTTATCAACCCCCTTTTTCAAGACATAACAGATTTTTTTTTTTTTTACCACAAGTGATTAACCAAAATCCCATTCAAAAAACCCATTGACTTCAGGAAGATGGGACATTTATCAATCTTAATGCCCATATTTTCCACAAATTATACAATTATTATTAGCATAATTAGTAGTATTACTACTGTGGTATTACTACCTTATCCATCAATATTATGATATATACATGCATTAGGTAATAAGGATGAATAATAATAATAATAATGTGAATATGGTGTTAATAGGCCAAAAGTTTGTATTTATATAACCACTACTTAAATATTATATATAAATAATATTGAAATAATATACAAATTCATTTATATAAATTCATATATAAATAAATCCAAAAACAGCAACACTGTAACACCATGATACTTTTTAGTTAGCGTAATCAAAGAAGAGCTACAACAGCAGCTGTAACGTAGAAAGATCAAAAGATCATGAAAAAGAAGAACATCCCTGTGGCGGAAACAGAAGCTTAGAAACCTTCCTGAGCAGCTCATCTGCATGGCCATCATCGGCTCATTCAGGACTGATTACACCCACACACTGCCCGTCGTAAGCATGTGACACACGCTCAACTCCCACGCTTAGTGTGTACCCGCTGTGTGCACGCACGTGTGTGTGGCTTCTGGTCATAGACCTCCTTTGTTTGGTCATTGGTGGACGGACACTGCTCTAGTGTGGCAAGCAAGAGGGGCGTGGGCTTTCAATAGAGCCGTCAACAGCTGCAGCCTTTTAACTCTCAGAGAGTGAGATGTAAGGAGAGAAACAGAAACAAATACTGGAAAAAAGAACGAATGGGAAGAATAGCTGGTTGAATCAGTTTCTTTATGTGTGGTCATGATTTCCCGAGCTGTGATCTAAAAAAATAAATCAAGCAAAAAACAAACAAATCAAACAATCTTAAACAAAACAGAAAAGCCCAAATAAAACAATGTTTTTAAATAAAATAAAACAAATGAACAGACAACTAAATGAAAAAACAACAAATAAACAAAACAAAAAGTCCCCCCCAAACAAATTTTTTTTTTACAGACAATTAAAAAACAAGAAAATAAACAAACAAACAAAAAGCCCAAACAAAACAAACATGTAAAAAAAAACGTAAACTAAGACAACTAAATGAAAAAAACTCAATCAATCAAACAATTGGTTTTAACTGTCGGGTAACAATTGGCTATATATATATATATATATATATTTATTTTTTGCCACTTTTATTTAAAAGGGTGTGAAACGATGAGGGGATGGTATCAGTAAATAACACAAGCTGGATTTAAACTCTGGTCGTCTGCCTAAGTGCCACCACATAACATGTCGGGCCACATATCTAACTGTTTTAATGAAGACACGCCATCATGGAATCCAGAAAAGAGATTCAGGGCTGTGATGTTTCACTGCTGTTCAAGAAAACCAGCCATTCCCAGTCACAGTAGATTCTGACAGGATCCAGACAGCACCGAGAGTCTTACACCATCTGGAACTTAGACATGCAGAGCATGTTATGTTTACTGATCCCAGAACAGACATCAACCTCAATCTGACAAACAAAATCATACAAACACACTGTCCCCAATCCTTCAATCTTTATTATGAATGATAAACTTGTCTTTGAGTGGGAAAGCAAATGAAAAGTCTCAAGTACAGAGCACTCAGATTCAGCCAATTAAACACAAGTTTTCGAGTGTGCAGGCTTGTGGATGTGTGTATCTGGTTGTATATTACCAAACGCTCAAAAATGTGTTTATGCGGACAAATTTGCAGAGAACCAGAAGGTTAGCTGGGATACTGCTCGGATATTTTATGTCAGTTTCACAGCTTGGTAATAATGATAATGGATGTAACAGACACACACAGAAACACTTCCAACCAGACACCGTTTCTACCAATTACTGAATGAGTCGTGAAAATCAGTCCACAAATGTGGCATTTAGAGCCAACGTGCAGTAATGGAAACATGTAATGCCTCACACTGACCAAATGCTAAACACATGCCACAGACAGAAACGGTCAGCCAGAGTCCTGCTCTTTGATCATGACGGCTTTGATTATTTTTCAGGATACACGCTTTAAGGATAACTTGGCATAAATAAAGATGTGTCAGGCCAGCTATGTTAATATATCCGATCGTCAACCAATATGGGTTTGTTTTTAAAGGCCAATATGGCAAAAGCAAGGAGGCCCACATAGCTCCAATACATCTATAAGTCAGCCATTATTCATTTATTCAGCAAAAGTGTCCAATAACATAGGGGTTATTGAAAAAAGTGATGATCAACATGTCAGCCACCATAAGGCTACTGATATGACTGGATTTATCTTATGTGAAAATGTTACTATTATTATTTCTTTTTAATCAGGGAAAAACAAAATGTTAAATTTAGACTGATTTAAACGTATTTTACGCAATATTTAAAATAATAACAAATTATTAAAAACATATATTAAAAATTCTGTAATACTTAAACATAATTGGAAAAAGTTTGCATTATTCACTGACAAGGCAGTTTGCAGATCCGCATAATATAGATAATCTTATTACGCCACACCAAATATATATATACATTTTTTTTCTCTCTTTTTAGCTACTAAGTCTTGGTTAATTCAGCAACAGATTTCTCTCTCTCTCTCTTTTCTCCTTTTCTTTTTGTTTGTTTGCTTTTGTTGTAGTAATTGTATTTATAAAAGCCCTTCTAGGGACAAGTGTTGCAAATTAGCTTTAGCAACAAGCACTATGATACATGTATTGGTTGGCTGTTGTCCCTGTTTTGTTTATGTTTATTGTATCTGTCCCTATACAAATAAATAAAGCATTTAATAAAATATATATATATATATACATATCTACCTTAGTTCATAATATATGTGCTAGATGTTTGTGTTTTACATTCTGCTCGTCAGGGTGTCATTAGTCTAACTGTGACCAACTACACTTGACAGAAATCTTTTGAGTATAATTTAGCATAATCCTTAGACAAATCAATATTAGTCTCGTCACAGTATGACTGGCATTAAAAAAATCGAGGATATCTCACTTAAAGACACCCTGTAAAACAACTCATACAGTACAGACAATACACAAATGTTGGCGCAAACAATCTTTCAGAGTGTGTTTACATGCATTGAGAATGTGAATAGGCACTGGGACAAAGAGCTCATTGCAGGGGATGATTTATAGCAGAATAATGCAAACACAAAGAGAAATCATCAAGTAGCTCAAAGTGGCTTTACG